GGGATGATACTTCACTTCAGCGTGTTAAAAACCAACAGAATATAAAGATGGCCGACATTTCACGTTATGTTGAATCACCAAAATATATGCATATACGAGTACCTCGTAGAGATATGGCAGTCACCCATGTATCTCAGGAATCATTTGATTCACCATTTATGCTTCCAAAAATTGACAAATCACATCATCATGGTCATCACTGTCAGAAGAGAAAGCCTATCACAGTATCATTGTCACAGGACTTGACACTTGCCAAAGCATCAATAAGAAGAAAAAAATGGAAGTTTCGGTCAACAAATGAACCACTGAGTTTCTACACTGCCCCTCAATCAGCTAGTTCTAGATCTACAAAGGGTACAGAAGAATCAAAAGAAAGTAAAACTACGAGCACAGACTTTAGCTCAGTGACAAGCATGTCATTAGAGGATCTCAGGACAAGATCTCTTAAAGAGATTCTGTGCAATAGCAAAAGTGAAAGTAATATTGCTCATTTAAACAAGGCTGTTAAATCTGTTCTTAGTAAGTCAATGTATTCAAAACCATATGGTGCTAATAAAGAAAATGTAGGATACAATTACAATGTTATAGACAGTAAACTTGGTTCTACACGGAAGAAGTGGATATTACCTGATCATTGGCCAAATCAAAATGTAACCAACGGTAAGTGTAAAATGATATATTAAATAAAAGTTAACCTCTAAATTTTCAGTACTATAAAATTAGTTTAATAAGTTCTTTTATTTACCACTTGTTCCTTGTATGAACTGATTTTGAAGTAATAGTGTCTAGTTATATTACTGCTAAGGCAGCCAATTGATCCTGCTCTTTAAAGGTCATAATCCATGTCGTATTTCATCAAATATGACCCATACATTTCAATACTGATCTGATTTTTGTTCCAATTAAAGTTTTATAACCCGCAAGGCCCTCATTTCATGATTTTTCTTTTATTTTATATTTTTTTTTTTTGGGGGGGGGGGGGGGGGGAGGGGAGGGTAGCAGGAGGGAGTTGCTGAAACTTGGCCCCATTCCCATCTCCACTACTGAACAATTACAATTAATATATTTTTTATTACTGCCTGCCTAAACTGCCTAAAGCAGAAGACCCTTAACAGTATCTGATTGATATTTGCTTCTTGCAAAATTAAGTACATTTATGTAATATTTCGAGTATTGTTGTTGATGAACAAAATTCCCCTTATTCTTATAACAACAAGAAATGTTTCTTTCTAAGAGCCCTTGCCCCTGTGCCCTTGTATGGAAATTAGAGCCTATACTTGTCTCTGAATATTATTTGGTATTCAGTGATACAATAATAGACATAATATTCAGTTACTTTTTCTTATATTAATTTAATAGCAGAGTTATGACCCTTTACTCTATCAGTATCATCTCATAGTAGACTTCTTCTTGCCATACAGGAAGAACTTACAGGTACATCTGTTTTAATTACACTTGCCCATCACCAATGTGGGTTCAAATGCCAACAGAGCCCTTAGATTCTTTCATGTGAGCAAGTTTACATGGTTGGTTATAGAAGGGGGCAGGATGGGACAACTGTTGAAAAATCTGCATATGACAGTCACCTTATAAATACGCTTGTTTTAACTTGTTAGAATGAAGTCCTGCTGTTGCAATAGCTAAGTGTCAGAATTGAAAAAAAAAGTTTACAAGTATTTGTATTTGCCTACTCTGTGCTAAAGTAGCAATGAAATAGATAAATTGATCTCTTGTACAGTCCTCAAAAACTATGTCTTGTAAATGTCAAAAGGTTTGTTAATGTTGAAGAGTTTGATGTAAGTCAGGACAGAATTGTAAATGTGCATTTTTGATATAACATATAAATTATGGTTTTTTATCACAAAGTCAACAAATCTGACATGGAGATTAGCATAAACTATTAACTTAACAAATACTTGTTTAAGTTTATTCGTTCCTTTATGATCAAATATCTGAATGTCATTTTGTTGAATTTTCAAATTACTTTTCAAGATTTATCTGTCCAATAGTTTGTACAAGGATAATGACTTGGGGGGAAAAAAGAAATGAGCCGCATCACGACAAAACCAACATAATGCGTTTGCGACCAGCATGGATCCAGACCAGCCTGAGCATCCGCGCAATCTGATCAGGATCCATGCTGTTCACTTACAAACCCTATAACAAGTAGAGAAACTGATAGCGAACAGCATGGATCCTGATCAGACTGCGCGGATGCGCAGGCTGGTCTGGATCCATGCTGGTCGCAAACGCATTATGTTGGTTTTGTCATGACGCGGCTCAAATAAGACCCTAATGAAGACTTTGTGTTGATTACATTACAAGTTTATTCAGTTTCTTGTTCAGTGTTTTTGTGATTATGTTAAATACTGTTATCAATACAAGTTGATAATAATCTTGATGTATGATGATAGCCTATTAACATAACCATAAATGTCTAAAATGTTCCTTGTAATATATTTTTCTAGAGTCAAACCTAATGATATTCTGAAAATGATTGGCTTAATTTTAAAATATTTTTAAAATTATTCAAATTTTAATTTTTAATTAACTTGAGGTTTTGCTGTTTACCCAATTTAAAGATTTGCATTTTATACAACTGCATTTTACACAACTTGAGTCTTAGCTTTTGAAAATGGAACTCTGAAATTCAGTCTTTTACGTTCACATTGTATACATGTCATGTTATTGATTGTTGTGCCAGTGAATAATGTTAGTCCACATAGGGCATTCAGGAATCTTGCCATGCCCAGGGGTTGTACTTGTGGTATACTGACATTTTACATTCCTATAGAGTATATAATACATTAGTTACTGTATATATAGAATGATGAAATAATAATGATATAGCTTGAAGCAGCCTTAATTGAGAGGTAGACCTTGTTAGGTTGTTAATAATAGTTTGACCAGGTCATATTTCACTGATCAATACATTTATACAAACTTAATGTTAATTATTAATGATAATGAACAAAGCCAAACTCTATAATAGAAAAAAATCCATACAGGAAATCTATGAATTAAAGAATAGTAACATGTATATATTAATTCTAGCCATATAATTTTATGGTTAGACTTTTATAATGTGGATCAAAGTAGATTTTAAGTAGAGATACGCAAATGTGGTTTTGATAGATTGATAAGTTCTAAATTAGATGCCATTTTTTTATTGAGATTAAGAAGAGTTTAAGTCTGATTTATTTAAACTTTAGATTTTTATACTGTTTGTTTAATTAAGTTATTTTTTTCTGGTTTTTGGCATTGTGTGAGTAGTAGTGGAATATAAATTGATATGTAATGTTTACAATGTCATGAAATATGGTGTTTCTTATCAGATATATATACAATTGTTATTTGATTAAATACTTGATATTAAATCATAGATGGTAAACTAATTGGCATTGCAATGATATTATGGTTTACCTATTGTCATTACATGATCAGTGGTAGATATATATGGCCTCTATAATATTGATATTTTCCACAGATCTCTGTATATAGGTTTTTGTGTAGTTTACACAATCATGTTCTAAACTAAATAATGTTGGTATATTTGTGAGAATCCATCTCATACATAAATAATGGAAAAATATGTTTGAAAAATTGTTTAGCTTGGAAATGGATACAGGATTTGTTTGTATTGAAGTCACATATGAGAACAATTAAGCCATTTTTGCTTCATCATGTTCATAAGGTCTATTTACAGTTTTATAATAAAATATCAACAACAATAATAGAATAGATGTCTGTATAAATGTAATTATGTAATGACAGGAGATAAAATTGACAACATATACTAGTGAGTTGACTCAAGAATTTACAGGATAAATTGCTAGAGGAAAATCTTACATGTTAAGATGAATTAGTTGGATTTATTGATTACAGTGACCAGTCTAGCATTGAAAAGGCGCAGGCATTAAATTTTGATGAGTTTAACTAGATTCATGTGCTTGATAGCATATTTCCGATTGAATTGCTTTGATTGAATATTTGTATACTCAGTATACTCTATACATATAAACACACCCATACATGTATTTATGTAGTTTTTAAATGATATAAAACTTGTGATATATTAAAGAACTTGTAGTTCTATAAAGAATATGATTGTGAAGTGTATACCATAGTTCGAAACTATTCCATTAACATCCAAATATGGAAAAGAAAGGATTCAATGGTAAACTTACTGATTATTTGGATTAGTTTAACATATTGTATATTTACAAATGCATTTTCAAGGATTATGTTGTTCTGGTTAATGTATTATCAAGGATTTAGTTGATGTAAACATTTCAATATACATGTTAATGTATATACAGTTACTGTATGAGAACCAATCAATACTATAACACCTTAATGAACTTAAAGATTAAGATACAAAAGTGTTTGCAATCAGTTCTCATTATAGTCAGTTATACCGTTTGTATGAATATCTAAAAAAATTGAATTCATTGCTACATGTATTAGATATTATGTTAACCTGATAACCCTAACTATGCTGACTTTGTTGAATAAAGTTGTCTGACTTTGACTTTGGAACTGAGTTATTAGGAGACATCAAGATAAAAATACAAAGTTTAGCAGCCAATTGTATAGAGAGACTTACATGAACACTGTGTAGACTAGCATGGTTACTTATGACACAGACAAGTCATTATCACCATTTGCTTCCTAACAGTTAATTGTGTGCTAATGTCCAGCAAACTAAAGTAAATAAGAGTGGGTCACCTTTTTTTAGCTTCAATTTTTCATAAAAGATTCTTGTATAAAATACTGCAGATGATTGTATGGAGAAGTTGGCAATTACTTGCAGAAATTAGTTAAGTTTTACTTTTGGTATAGATTCCATATTAAACTGGAGTAATAAATTTCACCTTGTGCATTGCTTTAATATTGTAAACTAAAGACATTAAACAATAACACCAAAAAAATAATATAAGGTATGGATAAACATTTTGATAAAGTCAAATGACTAAGTGTATGATGTTGTTATATTACAGATGGTCCTGGTAAAGGACATATGCCAGGCAAGATGCGAGGTGTCAAGACTCCAAGAAAATCAAAAAGAATGGCAGCCAGACTTGATGGTCTTGGTTCAACTGATGTTGACAGCTCAAAATCTCTTTCTGAAAGGTAACTTTTTGTGTTTTATTAAGTGAGAGTGCCATACATTTATATGAAATATTATGTAGAGTCCACTCTTTCTAGTTACATACATGTTTATTGGGGAAAAAGCCAGCATTTTAGCAACTTGACCTTTATGAAATATGCCTAAGTATGTAAAAATGCTACTGTGACAGGCAAACAAAGTGGTGGCCTTAGTGTGTAATAGACACATTTCTAAGTTTAGACTGCTACCATATGTATATATGTACCATTTTACAGTTACAAATAAATACAAACTTCATTCATCAAAAGTCTTGACTGCAAAAAATGTTACAATTTGAAATGACTAATATATTGCTTTTGTGTAGTTTTATGGTCCCACTTAAGTGTGGGGATGTAGTGGAGGGGATTTAAGTTTGCCTTTTGTCACACTGTCTGTCCATAGACTGATACAACACAAGTGGGGGAGCATCCTTGACTTCTTGTTCTTTAATTCATTAATAACAAGAAATGTTAAGGCCTTTGGGGTAACAGTATCTTATAAATGCTATATTTTGTTATATAACAAACAAATCATTTAAAAGATTATGTTAAATTTAAACAAAACAACAAATTCAAAGTAAATCTTTTATTACAGCACAGAGAAAAAACTACCACCTCCTTTACCTCCAAGAAAGTCAGAAGAAAAAGTTGCTAAGAAACCGGTTCAGAAATCTAGTGAAGACAAATCCCAGAAGGCCAGTGTACAAGCTAGTAAAGGAAGTAACAAAACTGGTAAATCTACTGGTAATAAAGACAATGTGATAGATGAAAAGAAAGTGGTCGCTGATCTAGCCAAGAAACAAGAATCAGAGAGTGAACTGGAGGAAACGCTGAAAGGTAATTTCATTACAATCGCTGCTCTAGATCAACTATATGAAGAAAATAAAGAGCTTCTGTATAAGTGGTTAGGTTACTGTTAGCGTCACAAATTGACGTAAACTGCTAACACAAATTGACGAAAACTGCTAAAATTTCCACTAGCGTACATATCAACCAACCTGTCATTAAAGTCTTCCCCTGCACAAATCGCTGATATTTCCTTACGTCAAATGTCTTTTAGGTTAATTTTAAATTCGCTAACTTTTTGACATGCAGAAAGATACACTTAATACAGTAACCTTCAGATTTCTGATTTATGTTTTTGAGGTAACTTCCACTATAAATACTCTCGAAATGTTGCTATGTTTTTTGTTGTATCAAACATGACACAATCAGGTTATCACATATTTCTTTTACATTAAAACTATATTGATTCCATAAAGTGAGCCCATTATTTAGTGAAATTTTAGTATCAATATAATGTAACCAGTTGAACAAATGACCTGATGTAAATGTTTGTTTAGCTTTTTACAATTAAGTCAATAAGTTCAATAAATTTAGTTTGAAAATGACATGCATGATGTCCTATTCATCACATACTAGGATACACAACAAATATGGAAAAGAGAGCATTCCTCACTTATATACAAAAATGTGATGTATGAATTATTGTCTTATTTGCACCACAAATATTGCTGAGGGGATAAGAGTGAATTCAAATGCTAAGATGAAACTTAACAGTAACATGCCACACAAAGAAGTGATAATGCTTACATTAGATGTATACATGAATTATTGTCTTATTTGCGCCACAAATATTGCTGAGGGGATAAGAGTGAATTCAAACGCTAAGATGAAACTTTACAGTAACATGCCGCACAATGAAGTGATAATGCTTACATTAGTTTTTCTAAGGTCAAGGTTGTCCTGAACTGACATGAAAACAGATGTCAGCAATCTTTCATCAATGAGATTTCTTGTTTCAGTGTAATGTTACATTTACCATTTAATTTTTTTTGCATTGTTTAGTTTGTGCCACCATTTTCAGTCTGCCAATATTTGTTATAACTTAGCATTACACATTGTGTTCCTTGCATGGGGCTTGTGAACAGACAGATGCATGGTAATGCATTATTAAATAAATGTGTTTGTTTAAACTTAATTTCTCAGATATTGTATATTGTCCCAGAATCATTGGTTGAAATGTTCTGTTTTCCAAGTGTCAGAAAATAATTGTTTGTGTGTCAGTATTTCACATTTTAATTCCATTGTTTTTGGAAAATTTTGTCATATCAGTGATAAATGTTTTGGTGGATTTGTTCAATGTCAATATAAAACAAAAGGGGAAAAAAATACAAAAGAAATCATCCCTTCATCCATAAAGTGGCACATCTGCCATGGTGGATTTTCTTTTCAAACTTTGCTCAATTGTTCACCTCAACAAGGTGATGTGCAGAATTCATGCCACAGCTGTACCAACTCAAGGTCAAGGTCACACTTTAAGGTCAATTGACAGATAATTTTGTTTCTGCTCTATACATTCTTTATGCCCTTGAAAGATTTTCCTCAACCATGGCTCAAATGTCCACCTGAATGTGCAGAATTCATGCAGTTGAAGGTCAAGGTCAGACTTGAAGGTCAAATATCTGACAAATTTATGCCCTATCTATCAATTCAATACCCCTTGAATTGTTTCAAACTGCTCAGAAAGCTGCTTTGCCTGTGAGATCAAGGTCACACTTGACATTCAAATTTTAGACATTTTTTTTTGTCTTCACTTTTAATTGTTGAAGTACATTCTTCAAACTATGCTTCAAAATAATAAAAGGCCATTCATAAAGTCCTGTATCATAGAGATGGTAGGGGTATTCATCGTTCTTATTGTAGCTCATGTTTGGTCTGATTTCAAAATTTTAACATAACTTTGGAATGTTATCTTATATAAGATAACACATGTCAGCAAGCTTATTACTTGGGGTAGCTCTTGTTAATTTTATAAGTAGAATCTAGTAAATAGATGAAAAATGGCAAAAGCAAATAAGTCACAGTAAACACCAACAGTACTGTTGCAAGTATTTTCTTTAAATATAAGGTATATAACTTTTCAAAGAAAAAGAAGAAAAAAGGAAAAGATTATGCCAGAAAGACCATATTGGAATTTCCTTCTTTGAACAAAAAAGAGCTTAAGTAGATTGCATAAAATGTGTTATATTTCAGTTGACTTTGAAATGCTTTCATTATTTATGTTTGATATTTCAGCAGGTGGGAACACTACAGTATCATCATCAGTATCTGTAGCCTCTAGTCAGGATGATACACCAATGTTACAAAAACTTAAAGATATGAATAAAAAGTAAGTTTTTTTCTCTCTCAGGATATCATTCATAAAGAGATGTTTGCTGCAAAAAATAAAATATAATGTTATATATCATTGAGATACTGTATATATTAATATTGAAGCATTAATTTTGAAACAATGAGATGTAATTCAAAGGACTTTGTGTTGTTGTATTTTTGTGTCGCCTCTACGGAGTAGTGGCGACATATAGGGATCACTTCTCCGTCGTCCGTCTGTCTGTCCGTCCGTCTGTCCGTCCGTCCGTCCGTCACAAAACTTGTCCGGACTACTGCTCATAAACTACTGGTGCAATTTCATCCAAACTTTACAGGAATGATCAGTACCAAGTCTAGTTGTGCATATTGTCAGCATTTTCCGGTTCAATGATTTTTGTCAGAGTTATGGCCCTTCAATAATTTTTAGCTCGACTTTTCTATGAAAAGGGGAGCTATCCTACTCGCCCCGGCGTCGGCGTCGGCGTCACACCTTGGTTAAGTTTTTCGTACCACCCCACTTTATTTCAGAAGTATTACAAGTATGGCTTTGAAACTTACCATACTTGTTCACCATCATAACCTCCATCTACAGACAAGAGTACATAACTCTGTCAAGGTTTTTGACAGAATTATGGCCCTTTTTTGACTTAGAAAGTGTATTGAGCTTGGTTAAGTTTTTTGTACCACCTCACTTTATTTCAAAACCATTGGAGGGATTGCTTTGAAACTGACCATACTTGTTTACCATCACGACCTTCATCAACAGACAAGAGGACATAACTCTGTCAAGTTTTTGACAGAATTATGCCCCTTTTTGACTTAGAAAATACATTGAATATGGTAAATCCACTTATTGCCTTAACCCTTTGAGATATTGCTTTGAAACTTTTAATGCTATTTCACATCATTACCCCCATCTGTACGCAAGAGAAGGTAACTCTGTCAAGGATTTGTTTTAAAAATTAAGGCCTTTTATCGACTTAGAATCTTGGTTAAGTTTTTAGTACCAGTCCACTTTTTGACTGAACTGTTTGAGATATTAATTTGAAAGTTGGAATACTTGTTTACAATCATGATTCCCAAACATGTCCAGGAGAAGGTAATTCTGTCAAAGATTTTATTTGAATTAAATTTATTTAAGGCTCAACTCAGTTTTTTTTTCTTTCTTACCAGCCCTCTTTTGACTTAAACATTTCAAACTTTGCTGCAGTGTTCAAGGGTATCACACAATTCAGTAAAATAATTCTTCACTAAATATCTTAATGCTCATGGCCATTGTTCACTTTAAAAATACAGAGATTCTTGTATTGCCTTTTACTGCAAAAACTTTTTTTATTGGCAAGCAATAAAAAAGTCGAGCGCGCTGTCTTACGGACAGCTCTTGTTAATTTTAAAGTTTGTCCGGACTACTTCTCTTATACCACTAATGCAATTTCAATGAAACTTTACAGGATTGATCTGTAGCTCAAGTCCTTGCGCATATTACACGGGTTTTCCGGTTGAATGATTTTTGGCCGAGTTATGGCCCTTTGACAAAAAGGTGTTTTTTTCTGTGTGTTGCCAAATACACAAAAGCTTGTCCGGACTACTGCTCATAAACTACTGGTGCAATTTCATCCAAACTTTACAGGAATGATCAGTACCAAGTCTAGTTGTGCATATTGTCAGCTTTTTCCGGTTCAATGATTTTTGTCAGAGTTATGGCCCTTTAATAATTTTTAATTTTAAAGTTTGTCCGGACTACTTCTCTTATACCACTAATGCAATTTCAATGAAACTTTACAGGATTGATCTGTAGCTCAAGTCCTTGCGCATATTACACGGGTTTTCCGGTTGAATGATTTTTGGCCGAGTTATGGCCCTTTGATAAAAAGGTGTTTTTTTCTTTGTGTTGCCAGATAAGCAAAAGCTTGACCGGACTACTCCTCATAAACTACTGCAATTTTATCCAAACTTTACAGGAATGATCAGTACCAAGTCTAGTTGTGCACTGTCCGTCTGTCTGTCCGTCTGTCACAAAATTTGTCCCAACATGAAATTGGCCATCATGAGGCGACACATGTGATTACTGATCGCTCTTGTTTGTATAAATATATTGTTTAAGTGTTAGACAAAGTGCTTGGTGATATTATTAAACTTCTCTTTTTTTTAATATTTACAGAGACCAGACTAATTCAAGGAAGAAGGATGTTCCAAGATGGTTAAAACAAGAAGATATTTCAGGTATGAAGTCATTACAGTTTCATTGGTACTTAAATATCTATGTAAATTACTTTGTGCTTGTTTCTCATTATAAGCATTGCAAGCCATTCTAAATACATATTAGTTGTTACATATGAAAAAGACTAAGATGTCCATAGACTGTTAGGAGCCTGGTTTAAGAAAAAGTTGAAACATAAAGAAATAACATATCATATGAAAGCTATTATTAGGCAGGTAGTCATATATATTTGAAATTGGTAAATATATCATATAGTTATATGTTTTTGTTCTAGGTCCATTTGAGAACCCACCAGAGAGTCGAGATGGTGTCAGGCCCGAGCCAGTGAAAGTAGAGGTACAGAAACCACCACCTACACAAGAGGAGATAAATATGCTGATTGATGAAGAGATGTCTCTCTTCCCAGAACAAAAGTATGACTATCATTGGTTAATTATCTATGTCTGGTACTTTTGATATTTCCCAGAGATAATTGAGGCTGCTATATGTGCTGATACTGGGCTTTCTTATAATTATTTGTTTGCTGTTTAAAGATTCATGTGCTTGCCATCTTCAAAGTTATGTCTTAAGTGCCAGAACTAGATAGATCTTTTTAAGATTTGTGAAAGTATAAGATTTTTTGAAAGTGTATCAAAAAATGATAGCTTTTAATCCTTCCTCTAAAAGCATTCTGCTTGGGTAATGGTTATATACTGAATAAAACTGATTAAAAAATGCAGTATGCTAATGTACATTGTATTCATATTTTCAGAAAAAGTGCTAAAGAACCAGAGCATGCCATGGATACATCAGGTAAGTGAAGTATTCATTTTTACCTGAGATATAATATAAAGGGACAACCAAAGGGAAATAAGCCATGCATTATCTTTTGACCCAATCAGGACACACATTGCCATTTTGTTTGTTGATCCTTGTAAAAGAGGGTTTTTTTGTCTGTTGTAAATAAGAGAAGAAGCCAACTGGCATAAAGTTTTAACAGTTTTTACATGGTCTTAACATGATGTTATGAATATCAATAATAAGAATCTTTTATAATAAGAGCATTAATATAGGACTTAAACTCTTATGTTTATTGAACACTAGGCAGTCAATTTTTTAAGCCAACATAAGACTGTTTATCTAGTCTGAAGTTACTTGTCCTCTTATCTTATGTCCCAAAATTTTATCAATCTTTGTAATTGTTCAGTTCAGGAAAAAAATCCACCTCAGTATGTAATTTCCTTTAGCACCCATGTTATGTTATCAACTTTGATGTGACTCTTCCCTTACCAGAATGTTTAACAGTAAAACAAAGGTTTATGTTCAATATCATCATTGTTGTACCCATGCTGAGGTTATACATATATACATACTATGTTTATTGTAAATTCTAACACGACCCGCATTCTTCCCTATTGAACATACAAGAACTTGGTGTGTGTTATTATGCTATAAAATCACTGTTTGACATTCTATATTTAGACATGTGATGTAATCATTATACACATGACGTAACCACTAAAAGTGTGACACGCTAACAATAAGTACGGAAACAAATCAGGCGCAATTTAGCTTAATATCAGGTACGGTAGCATTTATTTGTTGATGTCGTGTTAGAATCGAAAATAATATATCCAAATTGGTGATTTTATTGCTTGATAAAATCACTGTTTGTCGTTCGGATGCGCATCATTATATCACTTGGGCTATGCCCTTGTGATATAATTCCCTGCATCCGAACTCCAAACAGTGATTTTATTGAGCAATAAAATCACAGTTTGGGATATATTATTTCTTAAATCTGACATTTTAAATTTTGTATTGTACCACATCACAATGATTGAAATGATGAATTCATTTTAGAGGGTGACAACACCCCTATGTCAAGGATACAGAAGAATCGTTCTAAATGGCGAGAAAATCCAAGTATGAATTTAGAAGAATCTTGGGGGTCATTATCTCAGTTCAACAAGTGCCAACGTGGTCGCCTATCTTTGGATATGGATGGTATACTGTCTTTCATTTTAACTTGGTTCTTATCGATTTGTTATTGAAAATATAATCCTTTAAACCAATATGCAAACATTGTCTTTATTCATTTATGTTTGTTTGTTGACTTTCTTGGTTAAGTTTCTTCAATCTTATCTGTAACAAACGATTGTTATTGTATTTTTGTTAAGCTATTCCTTTATTTTACTTGATAAAGATTTAAAGTTTTGTTTTACAAGGATGGCTCGTAATGTTAAAACAATTGTTGTTCTTTTTCTAAACTTTATGTACCTTTCTATGTACAGATGATGTTTTGGATGAGTACATTAATAAAGCTGCCAAACTTGCTGGATTGCCAACAGAACCTGCCATCCCTGAAGAAGAAGGTACAATGGAACAGCCTGCAAACATGAGTATAGATGACTCGTATGTATCATTGATTGTTTTAACTTTTAAGATACCATATATTTCAAAGATAAAAAACTCAAAAAAGACAATCCAATTTGCCTAGAACTTCAAATTTTTAAAAGAAATAACATGAGATAAAAAAGATAAATGAAGTTTATCAATGTACAGAGGTAAATATACATGTATATTGAAGTTTTGAAAGATTTCTATGCTTGGCATCATGTTTATATTTCAGAAAGTGGACACAACAGGTGTTAAAATCATTGTTACAAGTCTTTGATCTTTTGATCCACAAATAAGAATACTTTGTTTTCAAATTAGTACTAGAACATGAAAAAAGTAAACATTGACATTAATTAGGTAAGCATTTAATATATGACATAAATCATGAGATTATTCTATTATTAGAGATGATGAGATGTTTACTATACCAGAGTTACCATATGGTCGTGAACTGGTGATGAACATTCGTACTACATGGGGAGATAAACATTATGTTGGTTTTACTGGCATTGAAGTTTTCTCTTCTACAGGAGAACAAGTATCTATAACAAAGGTAATCTTTTATTTCAACTATACTAGAGATAATCCTATACTTACACAAATTTGTTTATTTGGTTGGGGTTTTGTGACACAAAAACATATGTAACCACATTGATAATTTGGTTGTAACATTCATGTGAGAAAATTTGATCAATTTTACCATTAAGTTACATAATGGTTGTAGGGTTTTTATATTTTCAAGCTTTCCATTTGACTTGTTACATGTTGTAATATTTACTCATAATATTGTTCTTTAACAGAATTTCTTGGAGCTAAAGAGTAAATGTTTTACAGTCATTTTCTTAAAACCACATTATCATTTATTTACTTAGAGTGTATTTTCATATCTGTGGAATACTTTAATTTTCATACTGCTAAAATATTTTTTAAAAATCCTATTTGAAAAGTAAGTTTTATGAAATGAATAAAGGATGATAATAAATGTGTGATCATTAGAGTTGATTATTTATATATAAACAGATCCATGCAGATCCGAGTGATATCAATATATTATCAGAATATAACAAGGATCCTCGAGTAGTGAAGAACCTGATTGATGGGACTAACAGAACACGTGATGATATACACATGTGGTTAGCTCCTTATACAGCCGGCAAAGATCATCTTGTATTCTTTACATTAGAGAAAGCTTGTAAAATTGCCCTTATTAGAATATGGGTAAGTGTTATTTACTCAAATGATTTATAATGGTGATTTGTATCAAATCACCTACCTGTTAAAAACCTGCAGTAGAGAATGTGGACTTTTGTTTTTTTTCCTTGGCCATATATGCCCAAAAATATAATGCCATTTGTTCAACACTTTTATTTCAATGGATTTATGTGAAGACATTTGCAATTGCTTTCAGGAAAAGAAACCCAACAGATTAATACTGGTACTTACTGATAACTCCGGCTGTATATGATTGAAAAATTATACAGATAACAACACAAAAGAAACTTATAAGCTTGAATATGCCATGAAATTATTATAGATAAGCCTTTATCCGTTATCAGTTTTGGGTGTATCAAGATATAAAATTAAAATTGGTGTGCCAGTAGAAAAATGCCAGGCTAGACTGCATGGAAGTTCTGGCTGGTTTAGCTCTATATTGGTGGCTAAAACTAATCTGGCTAAAACTTATCACTTTCAGTTTCAGCAGGATAAGGGTTAATGGAGAGATTCAAGTCTGTATCTTGTCATATTTTCAGAACTACAATAAGTCACGTATTCACTCATACCGTGGTGCCAAAGATGTGATAATGACCCTAGATTCATCTGTGATATTTAAAGGAGAGATTGCTAGGGCATGTGGTGGGGTAGAAGGTGGTACTGAAGCATTTGGTGATGTAAGTTTATTATATACATATATATGTATTTGTTTTAGAGTTAATTGATGGAATTATCAGTTAGGAAGAGCCTATAACTGTAAATGACAGAATTTGGGCAAAGGTAACTTAATTTGTCTAATGAGCTGATTTCTATTTATCTGATTTTTACAGGCAAAATAAATTGCTGGAGTATTGACACAAATTTTCAAATGTACATTTTCTTTGTGATTTGAATGAGAACTTTTGTGTTTTGATTTGATAAATTTAAAAAATATAAACTAGCATCTTATGTAAGGAATAAAAAAATGCACCAAAACAAAATGTGTTTGTAAATTATTATAGACAATATTGTTCACAACTGATGAGGCTATTTTGGAAGCTGTATCACAGAATGACGAGGCTTATGAGGGCGAGATGTTGAGTGATGATGAACCTTTTGATGTAGAGAGACCATCAACTGCTGATGCTGGGGATGATAAGGTATCATGTTTTATATTAATTCCTTTCCTATTTCTTTTGTACCTAAAGCTGAACTAATACATATTATTATGCTCAGCATACACAGTAAGATGTTTCCGCAAGTTTAGATTTTATTTAAATTATATATATGGTTTTTCACATAATTGTTGATTGACTACAATTTCCAGTCATCTCTAAAATTTAAATTCAGTATTTTATTAATGATAATGATTTTATCTTGTAGTTACTATGCCTTTCATGTTTTGCATGCTATATATTGAAAGGTCTGTCTGTGAAAGCATATATCAAATTATTCATTATGAGGTCCACCGGGTAGATTGCTTTGTTGCAACTGTGTAAAGATTTTATTGTTATTATTATTAAATACTGTAAAATCATTATTATTCGTGGGGCACGAATTTTCGTGGTTTTCGTGGGTAGGTCAGTCCACGAATTTAAGATCCGACGAACTTTTATCCCAACAAATACTTCTTACCCTGTCTCTGTTCTATATATTACAAACATGCGTCTGCTCTTTTCCGGCCTATTTTTCGTGAAATGGATGTAAGTACAGACAGATAACCAGGTTAGTGACATATTAAATCCGTTTGCAATATTTAAGAAACTTGAAAGAAAACTCGATTATATGTCCTCAATTTACTGTCACAAATGTCGCATATAAATACTTGATCGTTGTAGTCTACTAAGACTTGATTGTGTTAACAAGAATACTTGACATAATCGAGTAAATATGGGAACCCAGGCAGTGCAATAATAAGCGCTAATAAAAATTGTCTGTTTGCTCTTATTAATTTTAAAAAAAGACTTTGATATTAATGTCGTAAGTACACAAAACTATAAAAAAAAATACGATCGCTAAAACAGATTTATTGTACTTTCCTTTGCCGTTTTTAAATGATCCAGTTTATATGAATTTTAATCGGTATTTGTGCAAATGCTATTCCGTAAACATCAAAGACGCCACCGACTTTTGCAAGATCCACATATACTCGTGTTATTTACCGAGAATAATTTATATGCATGTAAATTTACACAGTCGCTGTGACGTTGCGTGTAGTTACTGTCAAATATGTTAAGACCAATTCAGGGTGTAAACTTTTAAACTCGCTGGTTAAAACGTGCCAGGTGTCGTATAAATTATGCGATGTTTACATCAGCGAATTACAGGGGCAGTGTGTCCGATGGAGGTGCATATCATGTTACATAAATGTGTTAATTGCAGTCAATTATCGGCAGTAACTGTGCGTTATTAGAGTTATGCCCAGAGGCAAGGATTAAATTTATTGACAACCGCTGTGTGACAAGTAAAGATATGTACATTTTGTAAGTAAAAATGTTCGGCGATTAAGTTTAAGATTACTTTGCATTAGGTTACTGAATTTTTTTTAGCAAGAAAACGAAAATCCACGAATTTAAGAACCCACGAAAATGCCCGTTTTGATAAAACCACGAAATTTCATGCCCACGAATATAAGTGAATTCGCAGTAATTCATTGATTGTTTGAACATTACAGGAGAGGCCATTTACTCGGGCAGTAGGCAATATTAAACAATTAGAGAGAGAACCCACTGTGGCATATGAAGGAAACATGATGGTATATCATGGAAGATGTAAGACATTTTAATATAAAGGCATAATTTTAGTACATTTACTTGTAATATTAAATAGTTATTTTTAGTTAATTTACTGTATATGGATTTTTAGAGATATTTGTACTGTGTAAAAGCAATGCTTTCTCAACCCAAAACAGATATCTGAAAAGGTGTCTCTAGTGTTAAAAAAGAACAATTTAAGTTTTAATACTTAAACATTCAACAAAAGAAGACTCTTATTCAAGGCTTTTTTATACATATTTTTTTTTCTAAAGGGACTTCTTGGCCGGGCGGTTATGGGGGGTGGCTTTTAAGCTAACTGTCAAACAAACAAGGTCAGTGGTTCTGCTCCGGTGATTGTTTGTACCTGGCATGTGGTATGGTAGAACACTTGAACAGTCTTCATGCTGAACAGTCACCATAAAACCTATTCAGTGTTGGTGTGACTTTAAACTTTCAAAACAAACATTTCTCATTATAATACTCCCAGATACAATTTATATATTATCATGTGTAATATTTTCCAGGTATAGAGTTAAATTTCACAGCAACATGGGGAGATCTTCATTATTTAGGACTGACGGGTCTGGAGGTGGTAGGTAAGGAAGGTGAAGCAATACCTGTAAATATTGACATGATCTCGGCTATCCCTAGAGATGTTACATCTTTACCTGGACATGAGAGGGATGATAGAACTTTAGACAAGTATGTTATAATCTTACCTTAATTGTTTCAAACTCTAGTTTTCCTTCTCATTTTTGTCAATTTATCAAAGTTACATGATTAATGTAGTTGAAAATTTACAAATCTAATATTAAGATATCTACAGAAAGTGATATAGAATGTTGTGATGAAATTCATAAATTTATATACATGGTGCTAGAATGTTGTTATACTTGTATATTCAGTACACAAAATATTTTTAAGGAGAAGGCTCAGACTTCTGACCGAATCCATTTTCAACAATTCATGCCTGTATTGTGTACATTAATTACTGGTATTATTTGTATATATACATGTATACAGTGAAGTTGTTTGAAATTACTGTGTTTAAGATATTTTTATTTATGTTATTAGTATGAAAACAATGATTTTGACACCATGTTTGTTGTTTCAATTAAGTTTGGTGTTCTGTGTTATAGAGTGATAGATGGAACAAATGTGACATTGTCTGATGAGCATATGTGGCTGGTTCCCTTTGCTGAAGGCAATAATCATGTTGTTACCATAGACTTTGGTGAGAAAGTGTATATAGCCGGGCTACGGATATGGAATTATAACAAGAGCAAAGAAGACACATATAGAGGGGTAAGTTGTCATGGTAATAATTATGTATATTAGTATTTGGTTACATGGTAAAATATAGTTCTAATTTCTAAATTATTTTTTTTCAAGTTTAAATTAGAACATAATACATATGTTATGGTCAAGGTTGCCTTTTTAAGCTTTTAAATAAAGTTAAAAGGTATTTTTCAAATTTCAGAAATCTGCCTGAGTTTTGTTTATAGTTCTGTTGTTTTTCTTTCAGGCTCGTATTTTACATGTAGCTATAGATAACAAGGTTGTTTCCCCTGATGATGGGTTTTTAGTTAGGAAAGGACTGGGTACCTGTCATTTTGACTTTGCTCAAGAAATATCATTCTCACCACAGTCCTGGAACCCTTCTGCTGGATTGTCTGCTCTTGGGTAATATTTTTAGTTATGTTATTCTATACAAGTAATTTGCATATGAGTCACAATAGTTTATTTTGCTTAGTTACTTAGGTTTCCATTTAATGTACTGCATTGGATAGAAAAATCTTGGTTTTTAATTACTAATATGTAAGTGTTTGCTTAATTCAGAGAAAGATGGATTTAACTTGTCTTCAGTCAAACTTGTATAATGTTAACCTGAAATTATTGGTATTTAAAATGATATAAATCAATAAGTCATGTCTCTTTGGTCGTACAAAATAAATGAATTACATAAATTTTAGCTTTAAAACTATAAAACCTATTTTATTTTTTCTAGAATCATTACAGTTTTAATGGCGATAAGTTAAATTTGTGTTTCAGACCAAGTCCAAGTATAGATGAGAGTCAGAATTATGAGGTTGTTCAAATGCCATGTGGATGTATCCTTTCTTATAATAGTTTTATGTTACTATATCAGAAGAAAAAATAGTCATAATGTTGTGAGTTTTATCAAGTTGGCAGTCATGGGGTCAACATGGCCAAGTGGTTATTGTTTTTAACTTCAAATACTTTGCTCATCACCTCTATGAGTTTAAAGCAATCAAATCAACTGAACTGTCTAGATATTGTATGAAATCTGATTGTTCAGTAATGTAATGTTAAATTAAGTAAACTCATTTAAAGGTACAGTGATGGTATTTTAGATTGACACTTGTTTAGGTTGGACAAATTGTGTAACCTAAATTAGTAAATATAAAAACTGTTTAAAATATAATGCTGTATTGAAGTATATGCTTATTCATTTGGTTCATTTCAATTTCTTATACAAACTAGACAAAACTTGTAATCCCTGAAAAATTGCTATATGATAAGTACCAGTTTTTTTCCAAGCCCAGCCGAAAATAAATCAACAGTATTTTACAGGAATCACCTTAACATATTGACAGTTATTTACCAGTTACAGTTATTTAGTACATGGGGAGATACCTACTATGTTGGTCTAAATGGTATTGAACTTTTTGATGGAAACTTACAGAAAATACAGCTCACAGAATCCAGTAAGTTAAACCTTACTATTATGAAGTAATTGACATTGAATTTTAGAGGAAAAAGTTTTTCTGTACAAGTTGTTAGATATGCAATCATGTTATATTGAACGTAAATTTGATATTGAAATAGAGATGAAGAATCAAATGCTTTCTTTTGCCCGTAGTTCAATACTTTGTGATAGATAACAGGGAATAAATTTTTGCTACCATACAAGACAATGCTAGTAGATTTACCATTGGAGATCAATATGGATGGTGATGATCATTTCCTTGTTAAATAAATTTATTCAGTGATATTTGAAGCTCCAAAAGCTACAGATTGAATGGCAAATCAAATCAACATCATTGCATTCTTAACTGATGTTCAAAGAAAGAAGTTTTTATAGCCATGTCCCCATATGAAAATGTCATTGCAAATTGTTGCCAGTAAAACGCACATTAATTTTATTGTAATTGATTGTAGTAGTAATTTATAGAGCATGAGCGCATGAGATATTTGTATTACAGATATATCAGCATATCCTGACAGTGTAAATGTATTAGAGAAGATACAGAATGATGTTAGAACACCAGATAAGTTGATAGATGGTGTAAATGATACAATGGATGGAGGTCATATGTGGCTAGCTCCAATCCTCCCTGGACATGTCAGTATATATACTCAAATTTTACCTTAATAATAAATACCATTGTCAGTTTTATTAACTTGACCTATTTATATATCAGTAATTCTTCAAACCTTTAAATTGTTTATCAAAATAATTGTAATGGCACATGACAAAATCATAAATGAGTGTGCTGCCTTATCTTTGTATGCTGTGAGACAATAAGATGATGAAAAAATGGAAACTTTAAAGAATGCTCAAAACACCAAAATTTGAGTACAAGAACTTAGTAAATGTGATTTCCTTTGCAGTTAAATCGTGTGTATGTGATATTTGACCAGCCTACCAGTATATCTATGATAAAGATATGGAACTACAGCAAGACTGCCAACAGAGGTGCTAAAGATTTTGCTGTAAGTATTCTAGCAATTAAAATTACAATTATTAGGAATTTCCCACATACTTATTTTTGTACATTATCCTTTGTCATAGAAACATAGTAATTATGAAATTCTGATGAATTGTGTCTAATAATGAACAATAATCAGGTAGTTCAAAATTGATTTCATAACCAGCAGAAACAGTGTCATCAGATGCCTTTATTGAATTGTTTTCCAGCAAAACTGTAATTAAGTTATGAGGAAGTATTTTTTTTAGTTATAACTTGTGTATACATCTGTTTCTGTAATTATTTATTGTCTTGAGTTTATTGCAGTAATTACTATTATTTAATTACCATTATATAATGACAGTTACATAATTACTATTACAGTTACTGGTAGATGATTTACTGGTATATAATGGAGTATTACAAGCAGTGACTACAGGTGCAAGGGGGATACTACCTACATGTGAAGGGCCACAAGCTTACCATACCATATTGTTCACTAATAATAAAGACATTCTTAGAAAGGAGAAAAATACAATTATTAAGTAAGTGATATTATACAGAGAAATAAGCTAGTGATTGTTTTGCCATTGTGTGATTCTAAGACACTTAAACAGAACTTATTTAATGTGTAAATCATCAATACCTGATTAATTTATAACTTTACTCTTAAATTGATAATTTAAAAATATGAGTAGAAAAGGGAGATAATATTTGAAATTTGTTTCACTGCTGACCGTGATAATTGCCCTTGATAATAAAAGTGAACTTTTTTAATGAAGAGGTATGCAATAACACTGTCACAACCATCACATTTCTCATTCAGAATAATATACTAAAAGGCTTACACCGTAAATTTTGTGTTGTTTTCTGTCAGAACACTAGTGGCTAACTGACCAGGCAGTATATTGTTGGCTGTTTATATGTTGAGTATAGAAATCCTTTTAATTAACAATCATTATTTATTGTATCAAATGAAGAAGCAAAACATGTATTGATAAGCTATGTTGGTTTGTGAATCTTTCTATCAATAATTATTTCCAAATTCAAAGCAGGACAAGTCAATTATATAAAGATCACAAAAATTATCATCTCTGAAATAAAACATTTTAAGATTTAATTCAGGATAAGTCCAAGTAACAAATTAAGCTAGGTTAAAGTTTATGTTATTCTATGTTACAGTAATCATACAGGGGAGCAGGATGTACAGATGACCAATGATAAAAAGATTGTTAGTCATTATAATGACCCAAAGAAAGCTACATCGGGTAAACCTGTAGATCAAAGTAAGTTATTCACATCATATATATGTATACAAGCTATATCATGATGTATTACCTTGCTGAATCATTTGCTAGAACTTCAATGTAAAAACTTTAACAGCATTAGATCTGAACAACAATTTTTTCAAAAAGATTTTTAAAAAGAGCATAATGATATATGAAGATTTTCTAACGATGTTTGTTTGGTCATCTGATGTTTGTTTGACATCATATTTTTATCATTATAGACAATTCCAAATGTATGTATACGTGTGTGTTGCAAACATTTAAAAATATGTGTTCATGTGTATGGCAAACATTTAAACATGTTATTTTCAAACATTTATACATGTGTATCTATAGGAGTTAAGTTTAATTAATATCAAGTAAGTAATAATTACACCACCAGAGTTATTGCACAAATAGCATGTTGGAAATTTTATAATTAATTTCACCTGTTTCAAACATTATAAAGATAAAATGGTCTTCTTTACAGATTTGCGTCCTACAACAAGTGTGATACATTCAAAGAAAAGGAGATGAAACTACTAGATGACATTGTCAGAGTTGAATGATCTTTCTACTGATATATAGACATAGAGAGTGTATCTTCCAAGCTAGTGTTTAAAACTGCCATGTTATAATTAAGTCCTTTGAATAGACAAACCGCTGCAAACCTGTACTGAAACATACATGTATATTATACAGTATTATGTAGTACTGTAGATGTTGAAAAGTAAACTATTGTTATAGTTGTGCTTTTATTTAATCCAGCCATGTGTCCCGTTAGAGATTGCAAACAAAGCTCTACAGCTGAAAGTATATTCTATTCTTTAATTCTCATTCAATTTCATCAGTTTTGTTGGCATTATACCCACATACTGTTAGTCAACTTATATATTGAGTAACTTGCTGATATTTACTCGCACAAAAACAACACACTGTTCAAAGAATATGCCTTTCTATTTTAAGAGTAATATCACAAAGAGCAGCTAAAAAATCAATCTGTTAAAGTGGGTCTCTCATTAGATCTTATACAGAATCTGAATCTCTCGCACTAATATTTTGTATTCCTTTGCATTTAATGTTTAAATTAATATTAATTTTGATTGTAAGAAATGAAAAGTAAATATTTTCATGAACAGATTTTGATATTTCATAAGCATATCTGATTTTATATCCGTCCATTATTTTAAAGAAATGTAATGTATTATAATATATATATGACTGTAGTTAAATGTATTGTATATTTCATAGAATATTGTTTCCATGGCAATTGTCTTGCCAACATTCAATGGTTGGTAAATGATGAATAATATAGGTTGTTCATAGTCAAGATGTAATTTTGTACATTAAGAATGTCTAACTTCACTCTCCATTCCATTAACATCAATTATGATAATCCAAACAATTTGTCTTTATAGTCCAAGGTAATAAAATTATAATATTATATAATTAAAATATTAAATTAGACCTTTGAGTTAGCATAAATACATTTTGATGTTTTTATGACTTTTTGTGCATCAAGCCATATCAAGATTGTACTCTCTTGATGGAAATAGAAAACAGCTCAACTTGTACCAAACAATTTATTTGGATTTTTTTTCAGTTCTATTTCTCGTTATTTATATGCATAATGTTTATGCCTTTCAAAGAATTATTTTGAGAAATTTCTTTTATTCATGTGCCTAGACTGTAAAATAGTAATGCATATTATTTATTTCCGTAACTGGATGTACATATTAATGATGCTCCCCCATGTTTTATTGTTGTATAGTTAGAAATCTACATGTGAAGAGTATTGTTACATATGCCTAACTTAAATATTTATGTTACACAATAAAAAGTTGAAAACTTTGGAAAGATTTAGTTCTTTTTTTATACCCCCCATAACTTTAAAGAGTTATTGCCCTTTATGATTTTTCATGAAAAAACTAATTGAGGTATCAACTTCAAACTTCATAGATGGATTTCATTGAGGAGGAATGCAGTGTTCAAAATGCATAACACTTTTACATAGTTTCAAAATTGTGCTTGCATTTTTTCATGCTTACTTTCAAGGCACGTGAAACATCTGTATTAGATCAAGTATGAAGGCAAGTGTAGTGTGCACTTACCATAACTCTTTGATGCATAGTTTTGATGAATACTTAATAAGTTTTAGTTTGGAGACTAACTAGCTATAAAGATATCAATATTTACCTTTATGAAATTTGATTGATGGACATACATTTTATCTCAATCACACAACGAGAGAATTTACCTCAAATATCATTATCTCATTAACACTGATGGCGATCAAAGATTTCAATAAAGTTTCTCCAGGATTACAGGTGAAAGTTTAAAAAATATACTACTCAAAATTTGCTAAGGACCACTTTTTCTACAGTGCGTTACTTTTGTGTATTTGTAATAAATGTGAAAATCGATTAAAAGGAATTAAATATAATTAGTTAAGAATTGATTTTTATGAAAATAATGACAATGGAAGGGTTCCTTGGCGTGTGCCTGTTTAGGAAAGAGTGTGCTGGACGAAAATCAACATTTTGGAGATCATATAGTGGAATAAAAAAATCTTGCAAATCAGGAAATGGTTGGGGTAGGGTGTTTGATATCGAGTATGGTGTCCTCGGGCATTAATTACGGCCTTGCATCGCCGCCACATGCTGCTGATGAGCCTGCGGACCTTGTGATAAGAAATCATCTGGGCCCATTCCTCTATGATTGTATGTCTTAGCTCCTGAACTGTTATTGGTTGGACATGGCGTGAAGAAATGGCTTCTGCAGCATATCCCAAGCATGCACAATTGGATTTAAATCCAGGGACCTCGCCGGCCAAACCATGCGGACTATAGTTGCCTTCTCAAGATATCGGTTTGTGATGTGGGCTATGTGTGCACGGGCGTTGTCATACATAAAAATGAAATCTGGGCCGACTGCGCCAGCGTACGTGCGTACATGGGCGTCTAAGATTTCATTGACATACCTTACTGCCGTCTGTGTACCGTGTTCAATTATGTGTAGGTCCGTTTTGCCCTGAGCGCTTATTCTCGTCCACTCCATGACTGAACACCCGCCAAAACGGTCGTGTTTTGCAACGCATGCTGGAGCTAAGCGTTCATTTGGACTTCTGAAAACACTAGCCCGTCTGTCCGTGAAGTCCACACAAAACCTTGACTCATCAGTGAAGAGGACCGGGGTCCAATCATTAACTGTCCATGTGACATGAGTCTGCGCCCATTGCAAACGCTCTTGAATATGGTGTTGTGTATTGCTGGCCTCCGTTATCTCAACCCAGCATCATGCAACCTGTTTATAACAGTTTGTGTGCTTACACACACCAGTTGCATTCTGGAACTCGTTACGTAAGGTCGTACCGCCTCCGTGGTCGAGGGATTAGAGTCGATGACTTGTAATCCAGTTACCTCTGTGGCGTGGGTTCGATCCCCGGGAGATGCTTTGGTAGTTTAGCGCGGAGGAAGGTAGTCTAGTACTGGTGTAACTCTCCAGGAACGATGGTTAGGAAACTACCTGCCTACATGACTGAAATACTGTTGGGAAAAGGCGTAAAATGAAACAAACAAAATGAAACGTAAGGTCGTAGCGTTCGAGAACCGTTGGTGCCTGGGCTTGAGTCGTTGAACGTTCCCGATCTCCGGCATGGCTCTGCAAGACATTTCCAGTCATTTGGAATCGGCTCCACATCCTCGAGGCAACACTTTGGGATACCCCAAGGACACGGGCAACGTGCCTTTGTGAACGGCCAGCCTCCAACATTCCAATACCCCTGTTCATCTCATCTTCACTAAGACGAAGTCTAACCTGTCGATTTGCCATAGTTTGTTAATTTCGAACACAGTTTAACAATACGACGAGAGAAGTCTTGCTGCTTGTACACGTTTAACATGGCCATAAAACACTAAATTTCCATGGGCATGCTTTTCCACGTGCTTATCGTGCAAGGTGTACATGACAAATAGATAACTTAAGTACACGATTATAAGGTCCAAGTACAGGTTATCGTTAGCGGAAATATGATTTTGATATGATGATAATTGGACTGAAATATGCAATGTCGAAAAGGTGATCCTTAGCAAATTTTGAGTAGTATATGTTGTAATTTAGGCTCTATTTTTGTGTAGGCTAAATAGATCTACCATATATTTTAATATTAATTGCACATCATATCAGGGACGTATATAATACCAGTGCATGTAACACAAATTTACAAATTATATTGTGCATAGTCTTTTCTCAGTAATAATATGGATTAAGCGGGAATTATCTTTTTAATCATAATAACATTCCCAGGCATATGAAATTCTGGTACAGTCCGATAAAATCTTATTACACATTCAATCTTCGTGAAAATGGAATACAATTGTTTGGTTGTTACGTTCATGCATTTGGTATATTCGTGATGACGCCAATTGTGCGCATTGATTCGGCGCAGTTGGTCGCCCTTGCCATATAACTGACCAATCAGCAATTGTTTTAGCTTTCTATGACGTCATTTTTTGTACACATGGCGACGTCGCTTAGTTACACTTGACGTCGCTCAATGATTAATTATTTGAAGGTAGATTTCTCAAATAAAATGAATTTGACGATTTAAAATATGGGCTGTAAATTGTGCACATGCACTAAGCCTAACGAAGAAGATAGGTTGGAAAATGACCGGCCAAAGAAGCGCACCACAATCTCAAACAGATTTAAGTGGCAACTTTTTGGTAGGAAGAAAGACGCCACTGTTGACGCCCACCCAACTTCCGGAGTGGCCGTCGTTGAAGTAAATGTAACATCAGAAACACAAGTAGAAGGTGAGTTGGATCGATGTCAAAATAATAACGGGAACTTTTAAAATCATCAGTATACTACAGTCATTAATTGTATACTCCGTTACAATTTAGCGACGTGAATGTGCACAGATGGACCATGAACTTAGTCATTCTCTTTTTGGTTTTACATTTCAGTTTTTCCCCCGGGTTCAAATACATTTGTAATGAACTTGTCCTTCTAAGAATTGTCTAAATATACTTTTCAAATAAACTGGCTTATAAAATAGACTCTGGTCAGAGTGTCCGCAATAGTCTTTCTTTCCCGCGGGTCACTTGTTGTCTTCATCCACCTGTAAAACTGGTATGTCGGCTTAGAAAACCATCCAAATAAATATAATATAGTGTTTTTCTGATATATATCATTGTTAGTCAAGGTAATACATGTTTTAGAAAGGTTTATTTCCGTAACGAATATCATACACCACTGATGCTAACTGTATGTTGGTTACATCTAATTATAAGCATGCTCATACTTCCCTTCCCTTTATTTGAATTTACCTAAAATATGATAAACAAGATCGACAAGGAAAGGCGGCATTCAATGAACGCAGCCCCCACCCGACCCAGCAACAAGCGCCAGCGGCAAGGAGCCCAGGAGGACCCCAAAGAAAAACAGGACAGGGCACACGGCAGAGTACGGGCAGGCAAACCACTACATCAGAATACATAATAAGTAACTTATAAGGAAATAAAACAAAACAAATAAATGATTTAATATAAGGCCCACAATGTCAAAAGGCACAGGGGAAGGGGACATGAGACACGGGGAAGGGGGGGGGGATAAAATAAATATAAACCAGGGACAAGGGAAGATACTTACCGTAGACGAGAAACAACAAGAGACACGAGCAAAAGTGTCACCAAAACAGTATAAAACAACATAGACATACATCTGAGGAACACAGAGGAGCGCCGCCTTGGAACGGTCAGCAGCATAATAATGACTACTGGGGAGTTTAAACCGGTTAATGGTGCACCAAACCTCGCTCTTAGCCCCACCATGTTCCTATAAACGAGACAGTGTAAATAAAATGAATCCCCGCCAAGTGAAATTCTAACAGTTGTTATGGTTACAAAAGGTTGAATAAGTAAAACACCAAAATGATCATGTAGAAACATATAAAAGTAAACCCAATGACCATAACAAAAGTATTCGATGTCTTAAAGGAAGACAGAGCAACAAGAAAATCACCTACACGGGCCCGACGAAGCAAGACAGAAGACAAACATTAAGGCAATTCAGTCCCAAAGGGCTTTAAGAACTGTCCATCATATAGTCTCCCACTTGGTCCGTCAGATGTAATCAAAAGAGGAAAGCCAAAGTGTGTTTATAAATATAAACCAGTTGACAATTCAAAATGTTTCAGTTTTTTATGTTTTTAATGAGATTTTTAAGAAGTTGATTGGTAAAAAGAATTTAAAAAATAAATTTACAGGTTCTAAGCTACATTGAATTATCGTTGAATTTATTTCTCAAAGACTGTTGAACATAACGCCAGAAAAAAGTGATTTTGAAGTTACGCTTATTACTCAATAATGTGTGTTTCGTAACAGTATTACAATATATACTGTTATGCTTAGCCCTACATATTTTTAGTCATATGAACGTCTGCACATTATTAACGTGTGAGGTTATTTCTGAACTAAGTAGATTTTCGAAATTTTAAAATTTTCATTCAATTAAATGCCTACTTCTATGATATTCAATGGACAAAACGTTACAAATTATAAACGTCATGAATGTTAGTGACATCACATTTAAAGGGACTCCACTGAGGATTTTTTGACATGACGGGACTGGTAATAATTTTTTGAGATTATTACTCCATTTGATGTAAATCTATACTGGTAACTTATTGGCAAAACTTCAGTTCATTAGCTGGCTTCGTATTTCTAGAATAATTATTATAATAGTGAAAAATGACACAAAATTGAAAAGCGTTTAAATGCTTTTCACTCAAATCTGACTGAGAATGGCACAAACATACGATTTTCAATGCATTTCTTGTATATCTCTTAGTTATATTTTATTGATGTTTTTGTTGTAAGTGCTCATGTTGATCTAAGTGAAAAATTAAAATTATATAGTTTAAGCCTTATAAACCTCAGTGGAGTTCCTTTAATGTACTGTAACGAATGTACTGAAAAAAGTAGTCCCATGTTGATCAAAATTGATAAACAGAGTAAAAAATTCTTGAATAATTGAAAATATTTTTGAATACTAGTACAACAAACTTCAAACTTGATCAGAATTTAAGTACTCGAGGTACTTATCAAAATTAACAAAATTTTTCAAGTATTTGACGAATTAACACAAAGCATAATTTATTATGACACAGAGCTCTAGTTTTAATGTATATGCCATATTGTCCACATGTATTTTATAGTAAATAAATACTTAACCATATAACGTGCGTATTGTCGCTCGAACGGAAAAAGACAAAACCTTATTCCTATTCCCTGATTCCATGTATTCGTCATTCTTCAAATAGCTTGCCAAATGAAGAATATTATTGTCCACAGTCACTAAGTACATAATCTTTATAATGATATGTGCAGGTCTAACCAAAATCCGAATCCCATCACAGGATGGTCGTTTTGTGTAATTTAACAATAGGGAAAACATGCACAGCTGCATTGTACATATACTATTATTGAACCGGCATGCGTAATTCTCTGTATTTTAATAGAAAATGTTTCCATGTAAAGAAAATCTAATTTTCAAAAAATTACATTCTTCGTTTTGAAATCGCTACAACTGTATCAAACACTGTCTTCTCTATTATGACGCAAACAACGCTGTCCTTTGGTGGAACTAACGAGCGTTCCGTTTTGGCTATACACCGTAATGGACTAAGGTTATGATGCTAATTTCTTATCATCGTCAAGTCAGAAGTATTTTAAACCTATTTCCTTTGTAGATGAGAATCATGAGGTCATTGTTACTGCAGATATTACAACGCCTATTGATGTCCAGATCAACAAAGCTGCTTCACAGGAAATTCTTCTTGACGAGAGCAAGGCCAAGCCCCAAGTTGTACTCCCACAAGATGCCAAGATTGTTCCCGTGACCACTTCTAAGAAAACCATAAATGCGTCAGCACCGACTTCTGAAAAGACCGAGATAGTACCAGCGACGACTTCACATGTGGGGACCGAAGTTAAGACCGAAGTGATGTCCGTAACGAATCTTTCAAAGAAGACCAATGTGGTATCAGCAATGACAACTTCTGTATCGGCAACTTCAATAAGACCTTCACCAACTGATTGCAACAAAGAATTACTTTGTGTTGATGAAATTGACAACACCAGGCAGTCATCAATTCCAATAAACCTCGAAGAAAATACATCAGAACATGGTTATTCAAGCCTGAGAGAAGCAATAAGCATTATATCAAGGGAAAAACCTCTAACACAGACAACTGTGTTTAAGGAAACCGGGAAATTACCAGTAAAATCAAGCTCGAAGGACTCTAGGACGGACTCAAGCTCTTTTGCAGCCGAGAATGACAAAATGCTACCAGTTATAAAGTCAACTGATGAAAACAAATTATCACAAATATCATTAAAAACCGATGAATCAAAATCTACAACAGTTTGTTTACTAAACAAGAAAGCTACATTAGTATCATCTGCTACCATATCTTGTAATGAAAATACATTACCTGACATAAGTTCACCTCATAAATCCCTTACTTGTACTGAGAAAACAGAAGGCTCGTCAACCAAGCAAACACCAGTGTCAGTCGAGCATAAACATAAAGAAATGATACAAACAATTGAATTAGCGGCAAATGACAATTTGACACCAGCCCTTAATATTATCGGGAGCAAAGTCAAACCTACTGCAAAGACAACCATAGCACCAGACACGAAAGTATTTCATGCACCAAATCAGATAAAGGAAATTGGATCAACGCCAGCGATTTTCATAACAGATAAAACACAGGAATTACCAATTTCTTCTCCAGAGGAAAGACAAACAGGAGACATCGATATCAAAGAGAAGAACAGAATATATCCAATATCTTCTACTGATGGTAAAACGAAGCAAATGAATGACACTACGAAAATAACATGCTTGCCTGTTCCTGGTACATGTACTACAAGAGAACCAAAACTGACAGCTAACACTGCCATTGCCGAGAAAACTAAAACGTTACCAGTGTCTACCTCTTTCATTGAAACGGAAGCAGAATTGAAGACTAACACGTCAGATCCAAATAGGCCATTATCCGTCACAAAAGACAGACAATTATCAAACGTAAATAATGATCAAGTTTTATCTCAAAACAAATCTAGCTCGGACGCGACTTCATCTGTTTCAAAATCTGAAAAATGCACAAAGGAAAGGCCAGACGATACATATAAAGATAGTTCGCAGAAAAAGAAGCAAATATCTGATACAGAAAATAAATGTAAAAGTATTCATTCTAATCCGTCTAAAACAAAAAATGAGGTCCGTGAACCTTTCAGAAAACTTGCAATTACCTTGAAATGTGCCGAGTCATTGGAAGATGATAGTAATCAGTTGAAGACAAACAGTGAATGTTCATCTACAGCTGCTAAACCTCTGCCTCAAAGTTCATCCAGATCGCAAAGTTTACCAACGGTTTCTGCTTTAAAGAAAATGAAAGTTAGTGATTTTGCTGTACCGAAACGTCATCCTGCATCACCCATGACGTCCTTGCATTTAAAACCTGACGCCAAACACTTGTTTGCTATTCCTGCTATAGCAAAAGCTGATATCAAAGATGAATCACAGATCAAATGGACACAGAAAGAATCGAGCAGTAAGTTCATTATAAAAACTTCATAGTAATAATTTATAAGAAAAAATGTTACAGTATTCGTTGAAAATTACTTTTATAATCAGTTCATTGAAAAAACTGCTTTTTTAAACTTACTTTAAATAGATAATTTATATACAAGTAAAGATATTTTGATTAAAGACACAGTCATGCTACGGAAAACAGAATGTGTTTAATAAATACATGTACCACTAGTGAGTAATTGACGATTGTATTGTATTACGTAAAATCAGGTCCAAAAGCCCAGATGCCTTGGATGTCAAGAAGGCAAATGTTTGATGTTACATTTCCGCCACTAGGAAAATCACTTTTGGAACGGTTTGGGACAATCAATCGTATGCAGGCTTATCGGTATGTTCCACAGACAAAAAGCATAGAAGTGCTGAAACTAGAGCACAATCGTGAGTATAAAATTATGTTCATTACTCAAAAAAAAAAATCTTCAAAATTAAAGAATATGATTTTTCTATGTTGCAACTGTTTCTTCAGGATCTGTGCAATGACGAATAGCGTTTCGGTTTTGTCGTTGAATACCTGTTGTTCTGACAAGCAGCTGTATACAGAACATCCTATGGTTCGAAAGACCTTTGTTATGTAATATAGACCATAGGCAGGGATGATTGCTGAAAAATAATTCCATATTTATGATCAATATCCAAAAATTTGAATTCAGTTTTCTTTTCTGCTATTCACATATGCATATGAATAAAAACAGACTGAATTTTGGGATCATGACTAATTAGACAATAAAATGCGATTAATCAATTAAAATATTTAAAGTAACACGTTTTCTTATCTGTCTCCAAGATAAGTCATGCACGATATTACTTAGAGTTTGATTCGAAAAAAATCACATTTTAAATAATGATTTTATTCTTTAAAGGCACGCTACTTTGATTAATGTTATAAGATAGTTTTGAATATGAAATATTTGTGTTTTAGGCTTCCCTGGACTAAAATTAAAAGCAAGTGACATAGTGAAATATCCTAGGGTATTAAATCTAGCACCATCACAAACTAGTCATACAGGCCGCAGGTCTCACTCTTGAGGTGAGTAAATCATATCAGAAATATTTGAATGCTTTTACTGATTACTTACTAACTTAACAAATAAATATCATAATTATATATTGTTTAACACAAATTTCAAATACTTTGTTAAAGGAACTCCAATAAGGTCTGAAGTTGAATTTCTTTCACAAATTAGCTTGGGCATTTATAACAGAAAGATATTGAAAGATAGTTACGAAATATACTCAGAAATAATTGAAAACTGTATTTCCGTGCTACTGCTATCCAATTTGTGTGAAAAGCACTGAAATGCTTTTCAATATTGGGTCATTTTTCGCAATTAGAATAACTATTCAAAAAAAAGAGTGAGGGAACTATCTAAAATTTTGCAAACAAGTTATTGGCCTAGACTTGGAACAGTTCTCTAAAAATTATTCCTGTTATGTCAAAAAAACCTCTGTGGAGTCCCTTTAAGTAAATTAAATCAATTTGGTAATTTTATGATTCCATGCTATCTCACCAAGGACCTTTAGGTTAAAAGTAAATGTCACAGAGCTGATGTCATGTGACTCTTTTTAATTTAGACATATTTAATTGAAAATATATCTACATGTTGCTTAGATTGTGTAATTTCCATAACGCCATAACATAATCAAAAATCTAATATGTTACATGTTTTCTTGTAGATACAGAAAGAACCTGAACTTCCTGCCGTACCATCTGAAACACTTGATAAACTTCAAATTGTATAAATCATAAAAATGATAAAATTTGGGTTTTTTTAGACACATAATATACTTGTGACATAAAAATATTTTAAATTAAGTTGAAAATGTTGTACATCAAAGTACCCCGGTATAGGTTATACTTTGACATAAACATAAAAAAAAATGTTAAATTGTTATGTTTATTCTACTGTAATATATATTTGCTTGTATGCATGTTTATATAAAATATTTGAATAAATTAAATTATCTTAGAAAATAACCTGTAAGTTCATATATTTATTACACCATCACGTTCTTCATGTCTGTCATCAAGGGTTGCCATCAGCAAAATATTGAAAAGTTCTTATTACTTTGATGAAAATAGAAATAAATAATTAACTTTATATGTAAAACATTATCAAAGGATCTAGTATTCAGTACAATAAACAACAAGATGTCTAATTATGTTTTCTCTTTTCACAATTTTTTATTTTTATCTGCCTAAACAATAACATAAATATTATAACATGACAGCACCACATTCAGTGGTTTCATATTGAACCTTTTACATTCAAACCTGTGGTAAAGACACCACTGTTTAAAAGACCACCGCCTAATAAAGACCATGCTATAAATAAGACCACTCTTTATGAAACCTCTATTGATAAAATATAGTGTACATTCCAAATACACACCACTTGTCTAAAAAGGCCATGAATGGTCTCTGCTTCGGATAGCCTTTATCCACAGGTTTTGACTGTATACTGAAACACATGGTAATGGCTAATATTATAACAACATTACAGCACCTTAAAAAATCATCACTTTAATTTATTATCTTTGTCTAAATTACTCAGTGAGAAGCAATTATAACATACAAATATGACTTTAAGGTAACACTGATAATAAAACAGGAATGTTAAGTAAATATCATTGTAAAAAATACTCCTAATAAGTCCATCCTATTATTCTTACCTTTTAGAATACATTTACAATTAACATCTTGTATTAGAATTTATGACTAGCAATAGTTTAGGACTATTAAGCCTTGAGATTGACATACATATGTAAAAGTTTTATCATAATCACACTGAAGCTGGATACAAAGTCTCAATCATTTAGTAGCTTAGTTTCCATCATACATGAATTGGAGTTATCTCATTTATTCATTAGCTAAAATTATCTCAATCATTTGTTAGCACATTCATCAGCTGAAATGATCTTAATCATTCAAAATAAAAAATAATCTTCATCAAGTTGCACTGATACATAAGCCGAATTATCTCAACAATTTGCTACTTGCAATAGTGTTAATAATACCTTTGCTGAAATTATCTCAATGATTGTTTTGTTGAAAATATCACAACTATTCTTAAACTTAAATTATCTCAATCATTTAATTGATGGTATCAAATTATCATAATCAATCATAAGCTGATATCATCTCAATCATATCATCAAACAATGGTTTTTTCCTACCTGAAATCATCTCAAATCTTAAATTTTCTCAATTATTCATTGGCTTAAATTATGTCAATCATACCTAGTCTCATTCATTGCTGAAATAACTTCAATTATTTATTAGCTGAAACAGTCTAATTAGCTGAATGTATCTCAATAATTTATTACCTGAAATTATGTCAATCATTCAAATTAATAATCTGAAATTATCTCAATCATTCATTCTCTAAAATTATCTCAATTATTCATTCTCTGAAATTATCTCAATCATTCATTCTCTGAAATTATCTCAATCATTCATTATCTGAAATTATCTCAGTAATGCATTATCTGAAATTATCTAAATAGTATATTCATTATCGGAAATTTTCTCAATCATTCATTATCTAAAATTATTTCAATAATGTATTATCTGAAATTATTTCAATAATATATTCATTATCTGAAATTATCTCAATCATTCATTAGCTGAATTATTTAATTAGCTAATTATCCAACATATAACAAAAAAACAATAGAATTAATAGAATTAAAAGCAGATCTTTTGCATATTATACATGTGTAAAATCGTTGTAACTGAATTCCAAAACAAGCTATGCTTAAAATTATCATTTACTAAAAATAATTAATTAATAAATATAAAAACACATGTTCTGTAAAAATGACATACAAAATTATTTATAAAACATCTATCAAAATTTAAAGCCCATAAAATTTATATAAAAAAATATTAAAACATGTATATAATATAAAACAAAAACCAAGAGGGCCATGATGGCCCTGAAATCGCTCACCTGTATATAGACCCTTGGTCCAAGGCTAATTTTAAACCAGGGCCTTTTATTTAAAAAAAAACTTGTTAGACACCCATTAGAAGATGTACCATAATAAATATCTATGCTCTAGCTCTTTAGGGTTTTAATAAGAGATTTTTAAAGTTTTAATTATGTACATATAGGGAAAACCAATTACCCCTAACCCCCCCCTCAGAGGGGCCAATTTTGATCCCAGGGCTTTTATTTGAACAAACTTGGTAGACACTAGAAAATACTTCATGCTTAGTATCTAAACTTTAGCTCTTTTTTTTTTATAAAAAGATTTTTAAGATTTTTCTATACACATATAAGGAAAATCAATGACCCCCCCCCTTCCTCCCCCCCCCCGCCCGGGCAGGGTCAATTTTAACCTAAGGGCCTTATTTGAACAAACTTGGTAGACACCACTGAGAAGGTGTTTCATGCTTAATATCTTAGCTCTAGATCTTTGGGGTTTTTAAAAGAAGATTTTATTAAGTTTTTACTATATTCATAAAGGGAAAAACGATGATTTCCTTGAGTGGGGCCAATTTTTACCCAAAGGCTTTTATTTGAACAAACTTGGTATACACCCACTAGAAGATATTTCATGTTAAGTATCTAAACTCTAGCTCTTTGGGTTTTTTATAAGAAGATTTTAAGCTTTTACTATATACAAATAAGGAAAATCAATGATCCCCCAGGCCGGGGCCAATTTTTTCCCCAGGGCTTTTATTTGAATACACTTGGTAGACATGCATTAGAAGATGTTTTATGCTAAATATCTTAGCTCTAGCTATTTGGGTTTTTTAAAAGAAGATTTTTTTACTATATTCAAATAAGGAAAATCAATGACCCCCAGGACGGGCCCAATTTTGACTCCGGGCATTTATTTGAACAAATTTGGTAGACACTGACTAGATGATGTTTCATGCCAAATATTTAAGCTTGAGCTCTTTTGGTTTTTCTAAAAGGAGATATTTTAATTTTTTTCTTACGTTGCCATGGCAAACAGAGTTCTGCTTGGAATTAAATTCTTTGAATAATTTTTAAAGTTGATTACCAAAAGAACATTCCTGTGAAGATTGGATGAAATTGGCTTAGCATTTTATGAGGAGATGTGGTTTAAAGTAAAAGTTTACGACTGGATGGACGCCGGACGAAAAGCGATCACAATAGCTCACCATGTCACTTTGTGACAGGTGAGCTAAAAATCAAAACATGTTATGCGCAACAGAGACATAATCAATAATTTGGAAGTTACCATACTCATGCTCTGCATACTAAACACACAACAACAAACACAAAAATTAAGTATTATATAAAGCATATTGAGCAACTTTTTATGTAATATAAAAATCCAACTACAAAATTTACATGTTCAGAATTTATCCTCTGAATATATATCACACAACCAGTTATGAATGAAAATAGTTATAAACTTTCAAAAAGATTCCCTTGAAGACTTATACATCAGTTTGGAACTTATCATCATCATACTGTTCAACAAACTCAGGTTTCTGTATCTTTTAAACAAGCAGATGTAGTTGTCCGTAAACTTTTAAGGAAAGGAAGTATACCTGTAAATGTACAATAACAATAATATAAGAATATTCACTAATAATTTTATTTAATTATATTTTATTACTAACACTCTCTCTGGATTAGTGCAAGTTTGATTGGTATATCAGTCTTATTCTAACAGACAATTGCAAAATAAAATCATGTTCAAATGGAGACTATGTATTGTGAAAAAATCTTACATACTATACTCTTATCTGTGTTCACCATTATTACCATTTAACTTTAAAAAAATAAAATGTTATTTACTATTGTGTCATTTTAATACTATTATATACATTGTAACCTTGATGGTTTTTATTTGTTTGGGTCGTCAGACCAAACAATCAATGGTAGCCTGGTGTTCTTATTTGCAAATGTCGAAAGTAGTCAAAACTCCTCAAAGCGGTTACTTCCGTTCTTATGTACATTAACGCTGAAAATTTAGGGGAGATCACTGCGTAAATATTTTCAAATGACAGGCGCAAAAATTTAATTAATATAACGAAAAATTAGTTCCCGATTGGTCGAAGATTTCTAATATTGTGTTAATCTTATAGATATACATGCTTATATTCAGCTCCATGATTATTTACTTCAGTGTTAAACAACAGGTTTACCGTGAACAAAATATATCGAAATTAATAAGGGTTACAAACTCTAATTAAGAATAATATGGTATTCTTCAGGCTGTTATCTTATAACTCCCCGTGGTCGAGGGGTTTACACGCTCGCTTTAGAAGCGAGAGGTCCGGAGTTCAAATCCCAGTTCAGGCAACTCATGTTTTTTTTTTGTTTTTTTTTAATTGATTAAGCCAAATAAACATTGAATTGAATATCAGTGTTGCAATTAGTCTTATAGCCAATTTACTATAGTTATAACACTGGAAACAGAATTTGGTGACACTTTACAAACAAATTGGTTTATAATCTCACAACCTTCACCTTTCTGACATTCTGAGACCCAAACAAATTCAGTGCCTTCTGTGCTTTGATTTTTGTTTTTATTGGGTTTAACATTGCAACAACACAATAGTATAGGTCATGCGGTGATTTTAAGTCTTACTGGTGGAGGAAGACCTCAGGTTTCCCTCTGCACATTATTTCAGGCACAAGCCAGCACCTAAATAGAGCCATCGTAAGCTACATTAATGTTCAATTTACACCCTTGTGTATTTTATAATAACAAAAGCCAAATATATAGCTTCTAACACATAAAAAGTCTTCAAGTACTTTTTTTCTTTTAATTTTGAAATGTAATACATGTAATAAAGACTGTCACTCTATCAAACAAAGATGCTTTATAGATCCATGAAAGTTGTGTATGTATAGCAACTAGGAATTCTAACTTACTAGATCCTCCAGTTCCCATGGTGGCCAATGACTCATAATCCTTGTTCCTTGATTCCCTATTTGCCATTAACACTATGTACCTGGTTATGAGAAATTATTATTGTTATATCATTTTCAATTATTATGACCCCATTTTTAACAAAATTTAATATCTTGTTCATCTTAAACAATTTTTAATCTGTAGTCAATGCAAAAGTTTCTGTATAACTGAGTTAACCATTAGATTGCTAACATGGACATGCAGAAGAATATTCCTCAAATACAATAACTTACATATGAAAAAAACAACATCAAAGGGTCATAATTATGTTAAAAAGATTAAATTACAAAACTCTGACAATAGTGCCATGACACTTGGACACAATAGCTCTGTGAAGGTTTGATTGAAGATCTCTTGAGAAATGTAGGAGAAGTTGCATACAGTGGAAACTGTTAACATGCCTGCCAACATTCACCAATCTAATAACAAGCATATTAATTCAAAAAACCTGGTTAAAAGGATAAGTAAAATACATTGCTAAACAAATAGAGTTTTGAAATTGTTCTTTTTTATACCACATAAAACTATTCTTACTTGGTTACAATCTGTATATGGTAACTTCTAAAGTTAACAACAGCTTTCACACACTGATTGTAGGCTTCCGTCAGTTTATCACAGTTACTAGATTCAACTGGTAAGCAGAAAAATAAAATGATATAAATTTTGTTATTATATAATCTAAATATAGCTGCAATCTCATTGGTCCAAACAGTAGTCAACAGAACTTTTTATAAAATCATATTTACTGGGTGTAGTATCATATTCACTGGCTGAATTGGATTTTCCCAGTCTTAAAAATATATTGAGACTAATATTCAATGACCATACACTGTAGACTGCTAATTATGCGTATTAATTAAAAATTGTGTTTTGTTCTTCATGGCAAAGTTCTCGATTAAAATATCATTATTTTACTATTATACTTAAAGGCTAAACCGTAATGATCAGTATAAACTTGAATTACTTTTGTATGTGCAGTGTTTGGGTAGTCGTTGCACGTCGTACAAGTGCGTCTTTTTTCCGGCGCTTCAACAAGGCAGAAATTGTACATTGTAGATTGTACTTTCTGTGATTTTTTTTAAAAATTCTTAGCCTATTCATATAATAAAACAATTATTGACTAGTGAGCCATTGAATATGATGTGATATTCACCGACAGAAAGTCATATTGACCTCGGCTATCGCCTCGGTCAATATGTCATCTGCTGGTGAATATCATATCATATTCAATGGCTCACTAGTCAATAATTGTATTATACACACAAACGTATGTTATAAATTCACTTTGTATCAGGCGGTGTATAAATACATGATGTACCAAGAGTTGTTATCCATGATGATAAAAGTCCAGATAAATATTAATTATCAGGCATTTGGTCAGCTTTTTGTAAGATAAATTAAAAAAATATACAATTATATCAAATTTTTATGTTTGGGTTTTAAATTTACTTTTTTACCTTATATTCTTCTTTTCAATGATTTTTCACCTTGTATAAAAAGGTTTATAAAAGGCCTCTTTCAAAATTGTGCTGTTTTCCCAAAAAATTGAACTAACACCAACTTTTTTTTTCTTCCCAAAAATTAGCACTTTCAATGATAATTGTCCCCATAAAATCAAGAGGGTAAAGCCTCTTCCCAATTAAAAGAAAAAAACCATTGCATTTATACTCCCATCAATATTCATGATTTTATTGACAAAAAGCACAGGCATATCTTTACCAAGTTATTTTTTTTTCAATTAAGTGTGGATGAATATTGTTTCTGCGACTGTCATATCACAAATGAGTGATACAGAAAGTATATTATGTACTAGTATATAGTATATTAAAATGAAAACAAGAGATATAATGTAAAACATATACATACCAGTAGATTTAACTTTAGATTGTCTCTCTATAGTATAGAGAAACTCTCTGTGAGATGGTGGCATGTAATTTCTCATGTTCATCAAAAAATCTCGATTACCTAAAATCAATAAAAATATATTGATATTTCAGAAGTAAGAAAAACTGAACTTAAAAATAACAAATCAGTTATGAATTTGTGAAAAATAGTACTTCTTAACTTGAAAAGAATAATGTGATTTTAAACTTGGAAATATTATCTAAACCTTTTCCCTGTATAAACATAGTACAGTAATAATCAATTAAAATGAATGAACCTACCTTGACTATGTTTAACACCTAGGACAGCATCTATACATTGTAATGTTGAACTTTGTGCAGCACTACCACCTGTCATCTTTATAAACAAGTAAAATACCAGATTATTTATTGTAAACAATGATTTCAGCACATGCTTATTGTTATCTTAACGAATTGATCAAATTTGTGGATAAAAATGTCAAAGAAAATTTCAACCTTTACGGACAAACATTTAGGGGCCTATATGGCTGAGTTGTAAAGGTCACTTCATAAAATCACTGAGGGTTCAAATCCCTTGTGTCTGAAATAACACAGAAGGGACACCTGGTCTTCCTACACCAGTAAAGTTAAAAGTTGTTATATGACCATTGCCGTGTTGGAGTGACTTTAAATCCAACAAAACAAACATGCCAACATTTAAGCTTTCAAAATAAAAGTTTCATATCTGAACCATTTTCTAGCATAGAGGACATAATATGACATGAAATGAGCCACGTCACGACAAAACCAACATAGTGTGTTTGCGACCAGCATGGATCCAGACCAGCATAATCAGGATCCATGCTGTTCGCTTACAAACCCTATTACAAGTAGAGAAACTGATAGTGAACAGCATGGATCCTGTTACTATGTTGGTTTTGTCGTGATGCGGCTCAAATAATTACTTTCTGAATGCTACATACCTTCCTAGGTTTATCACTAACCCCTTCATATATAATACCATCAGGTAATGGGGATCCATCACCACCCCACCTACAAAATATTTATAAAATGTTTATTTTTTACGTTATTTGAATGTAAATGTTAACTGTAACTGATGCTCATCATTTTTATTCATTTGAAATTTCTACATATGCTTGCTAGCAATGGAAAGTACATATTAACACAGTTGTGCAGTGGAACAACAAGCCTGACTCTACACTCAAATCATAGACATGTCATTATTTTACTAGCAATCTAAGAGTTAAATAAATATAAATGAGTCGCGTCACGACAAAACCAACATAGTGTGTTTGCGACCAGCATGGATCCAGACCAGCCCACGCATCTGCGCAGTCTGATCAGGATCCATGCTGTTCGCTTACGAACACTATTACAAGTAGAGAAAGTGATAGCGAACAGCATGGATCCTGATCAGCCTGTGTGGATGCGCAGGCTGGTCTAGATCCATGCTGGTCGCAAACGCACTATGTTGGTTTTATCGTTACACAGCTCAAATATATACCCTGTAAGGAATGGTCTCATCACATCATAAAATGTCTCCGCTGATAAATTCTCTGAAAGAAAAATAAAGTCAAACATTTTTTATCTAAACTTTTTTTGAAGGTGAATAAATTGTGATGTGAAAACAATAAATCAAGCCATTGTAATGACTGTATTCTAGTCAATGTCTGTTCAAAATTATGAAGAACATCAAGTTTTTATTATCCCTTTTAATAATAACATCCATTCACTGTAATGATTATATAAATGTATTAACATCTAATCTATATGTAACATCCAGTATGCCATAGATGTATAAATAACATCAAGCTAATGTTATAATCATGAATAATATCAACCCAAAGTATAGAATGATACTTTGCAAAAGGAATGATATTAAGACAAAGTAACAAGAGATAATCAAACAATGTTATGAATGATATCCTGTAAATGAAATGAATTTGTGTAGTAATTATTTTCAATATACATGTACATGTATCTGAATAAGATTATATATCTTTTTCAATACCACAATCTCTTATTTATTACAATAAATATACTAAATACAACATGACAAATCATGCATTGTATACAGACAGTTTTTTACATTTTCTCCCACATTTTTACAATATGATCAGAGATTATGCCCTATTACATCATGAAGATGCTAAAATAAAAGGAATAAAATCTAATAAAAAAACAATTCTTCTATTGGAGAATGGGATAAAGACATACCATGCATAGTAGAAACAACCTTCTTCATATTATGTACTGTTTGTGTAGCTTCTGTGAGGCATTTAGTGAGTTCCTGAATATTACCATGTTCCGCATGATACAATACCTGCATCAAGTTCTACAATCAAACATTTATATACTTGTAAAGTAGATATTGCAAAGACTTCATGAAGTCAGGTACACTTCATATTCTATGTGACTAGGTATTTACTGAATCAATACTTGGTAAGGATATTTTCAATCTAGCTGCACTATTCATATTTATATACAGATGAAATACCAGTCCAGTGTTCTTTCAGCTTTCTAAATATTAAAACTTTTCTTTTTTCAAATTATACACAGAACAAGTAACTCTAGGTCTTAGATAATATATTTTGTCAAAACATAAAGAAAGGTCTCTTTTTATTATGAATAAATTATTAATACAAAGTGATAAATGTTATCTTGCATTAAAACTTGGAACAGAAAAATATAATGAATATACCTGTAGACCTGCTGCAAAAGCTAGTTCAGTTTTTGTTGTGACTGTTATAAACCATTCAGCATCAGAACCTCCTGGTATTCTATATAAACTTCGTACTGAACTAATAAAATACAGTCAACAGTATAAATCTTAGTCAAATTTTCAAAGCAGGTGATTACAGTAAATAAACATTTTAGTATCTTTATGTGGGTTTCAATAAAATTCTTATTGACTGAAGGGATAATAATGTCTATGAAATAAAAACAAGTACAGTAAATTCCTCTTATAACAATATTCAGGGGACTGCTAAATTTATATCATTATATCTGAGTATTTGTTATAGGCAACCAATTTGAAAACAAGAGGTGTGTCCTCATCAACAACATCGTTACCAGCGGTATATCATTATAAACAATATCGCTTTAAGTGGAATTTACTGTATACATCATAAATATATCTTATGTTTTCCTCATAAAAACTATAGGTATACAATGTTACCCAATTCTTGTCATACAGCATATTTGTAACATCTATTTTTATTGTAAAACTGTGGTGTTAATATAATCTATATACAAGGCTGCTGCAAATTATTAGTTTATTTGTATTTTTATCAAAGGTCACAATTGTCATTTGCTAAAAACATTTTCACAGGATATAGTCTTTTAAAGGATAACAGTTTGCAGTTATATAACCTTTAATACAGCCATTTATACTAGGCCATATGCATGTAACATGTGAAAAATCTTAATTACATGTACTACCGGTAATATAAATGTAGATTGTTAATTGACATTGCTACATACCTGCCCTCACCAGTGTAACCCCAGTTGGCAAGAACCAAACTAGCATGACTAAGTACTGGTTGTAGATCCAGATATTCCGATACCCCACACCATGGAATAGACACATTTTTAGGTAAAACCTGACATAGATGAACATAATAATATAGTGTTTACATGCTAATATTGAACATGACGGGACAGGTGTATTGATATCATTAAAAACTCATGCAGTGGAGAACTGTTCACTATTGGGGAGTTAATGCGTAAGCTTAATCAGTAGGACCATTGCATGGTGTTTCAAGGGTTTTGGTTTAAGTCAGTGTCAGGCATAACTGTTGTTCTCACCCTATGGAACTTGTAATACTTCAAACTGGTACAATATTGTTGTCAACCACTCAACATTTGCATCACACCATTTGCTTCATTAGCATCAGCATCATCATATTTTTTTGTAATCTACTGACTATTGTTATAATTTACTGAGTTTCAATTTGCTTTTATCTCAGACCTTTTTAATTGACTTCAAACCACTTGCCCGTCACTGCTGTGGGTTCGAATCCCAACAGGGACTTTGGATTCTTTCATGTGCGGAAGCTATCCAGCTAGCTTACGGAACATCGGTGGTTCTACTCAGGTGCCCATTTGTGCCTGAAATAATGCACAGGAGGGCACCTGAGGTCTTCCTCCACCAGTAAAGTTGGAACGCCGCGATATGACCTATACTGTGTCGATGTGACGTAAAACCTAAAACAAACAAGACCTTTTTAAATGATTATTTGAATTAATTTCAAGCAATAAATTTCATCTTAAGAAACCAAAATCATTTGTTAACATAATTATGTAAACATTAAGAAGTAACAGGTCCTGTTACCTACCTTAGCTGCCCCAGAATCTCCCTCCTGCCATATATAACCTGATGCTATTATAGACAATTGTAAATGAGCAAGTCTATATTGCCGATGACCATCCAGCTTTTTAAAGTCTAGCAAATCCATCTGTAAATCACAATATACATGTATAATAATAATAATAATAATAATAATAACTTTTCTGAGAGCATGCTCCTCTTTTCTCAGTAATGTATAGAACCCTAAAATTAGAAAAGGGGGACACATTATTTCTTGGCAAAGTTTGATAATAATAGGGTGAGTCTTCATAAGTATTGAAATAATACTGACCTTGAAACTAAGCCGTCCTCAAAAATAAGCTACCAATCTCTTACCAAAATTTAAAATAAGCTGTGGCTTATTATCAAATGTTTAGGGTATTGTTAAAGATTTAATTTTTAAAGTCTTTTTATAGCTCCTGTGACCTACTGCATCAGACTGAAATCATTTATATGAACTTTGTAGTCTGAGCATCAGTCCTGTGAAGTTTGGTCAAAATCACCAAGTGGTTTAGGCGATGATGTTTATAGAAATTGTGGATAATGACAGACAACAAATGTCTGAAAGGAAAGACAGACTGCTACCTCTGAGCACTTTATGTGCCGGTAACTAAAAAACCACTTTGATTCAGAGAATGCAAAATACAAATGTTGTAACTATTATGGCCATTTAACAAGGGCCACTATTCTGTAATTCATGATGGGATCAGGTGACTCAGATACATGTATAATTGGTGACACAAGTTCTATGCAAATCTGGTGCAATCAAATAAAAAATGAGACTGTTATCAGGCAAAAAAGGAAGAATACATTATGTAATACAATAATTATAAAGGAAAAAATGATAAGACTTAACACTGCTAAACCTGAGATAATATTTTTACAATGTAAAAACTCAAATCATTACCTCATGCACAGCCTCTCTCAACTGTTTCTTCTTTACCAAGTCGGGCATGTCTTTGGCAAGTGAATTCCATGACTTGAAATATTCAGGTAGGTATTCCTACAAACAAAATAGTTATATATTAATCTAACCAAAGCTTAGCCAAGCAGGGTCCACTTTCAATGTTTTCCCTTTTCTTTTAAGGGAAAAACATTGGAATAACAACACTGTTTTAAAGGGGTCCGTAAAAAACATATTTTTTTTGTATAAAATTTGATTAAATTTTTGTATTTGACCTTGATAGTCACAGTCACACTTAAATTATTAAAAATATCAGTGTTGTCATAAGTGTTGTTTTGTCCAAGTACGAAGCAAGTACAATAACATTGGGCAACACCCAACTTTTTTTACTTTTTCTAAAAGCAAACAAATAAAAGGTTTAACAAATCTTTAAGAACAAAAAATCTCGAGGGACACATATGCCCCCCCCCCCCTTTCTAGCCCTTGACTCACATAATTGGTAATTTTGTTATAGAAACTTGCCATAAATGGGTACATGGAAGTGTTCAGTTATGGAAAAAAAATGACCTACTAGTTATAACCAATCAATATGTGAAATATGAAGACTTTGAGAAAAAAAGTTTTCAAGGTAATAAGCAGAAACCACATTTACATTAAAGGCCCCTGTGACCTTGACCTTGTGATCCCTATATCAAATTTAATAGGGGACATCTTCATATGGCTTTTCAATATGTGTATTATGAAGACTTTGTGTTAAATAGTTTTCATTATAATGAGCAGAAACCATGCTGACATTTAAGGCCCCTATGCCCATGATCTTTGAGATAGTGATCCGAATATCAATAGGGGACATCTTCTAGTAATGACCAATCAATATGTGAAATATGGAGACTTTGTAATAAATAGATTTCAAGCTAATGAGCAGAAACCATTCTGACATTTAAGGCACCTGTGACCTTGACCTTTAACCTAGTTACCCCAAAATCAATAGGGGTCATCTAATAGTTATAACCAATCAATATGAGAAATTTTAAGACTTTAAGATAATCAGCGGAAACAATTCTGACATATTAAGACCCCAGTGACCTTGACCTTTGACTTAGTAACCCCAAAATCAATAGGGGTCACCTACTAGTTATGACAAATCAGTAGTGATCCCATTATCAAAAGGGGACATCTTCTACATATTGCTATTGAATGAGTGGAAACCATGCTGACATTCAAGGCCCCTGTGACCTTGACCTTTGACTTAGTGACCCCAAAATCAATAGGGGTCACCTTCTAGTTATGACCAATTAGTAGTGATCCCAATACCAATAGGGGTCATCTTCTACATATGGCTTTTCAATATGTGTATTTTGAAGACTTTGTGTTAAATATTTTTCATGATAATGGGCGGAAACCATGCTGACATTCAAGGCCTCTGTGACCTTGATCTTTGAGATTGTGATCCCAATATCAATAGAGGACATCTTCTAGTAATGACCAATCAATATGTGAAATATGGAGACTTTGTAATAAATAGATTTCAAGCTAATGAGCAGAAACCATTCTGACATTTAAGGCACCTGTGACCTTGACCTTTAACCTAGTTACCCCAAAATCAATAGGGGTCATCTTACAGTTAAAACCAATCAATATGAGAAATTTTAAGACTTTGTGATAAATAGTTTTTTAAGATAATCAGGGGATAAACCATAATAACATTCAAGGCCCCTTGACCTTTGACTTAGTGACCCCAAAATCAATAGGGGTCACCTACTAGTTATGACCAATCAGTAGTGATCCCAATATCAAAAGGGAACATCTTCTACATATGGCTATTGAATGAGTGGAAACCATGCTGACATTCAAGACCCCTGTGACCTTGATCTTTGACAGAAAGATCCCAATATCAATATCGGTTATCTACTAGTTATGAGAAATCAGTATGTGAAATATGAAGACTTTGCCATAAATAAAGATAATGAGAGGAAACCAGTCTTACATTTAAGGCCCCTGTGACCTTGACCTTTGACCTAGTGACCCCAAAATAGGGGTCATCTACTAGTTATAACCAATCAGTATGTGAAATATGAAGACTTTGTGATAAATAGTTTTTTAGTATATTCAGCAGAAACCATGTGGTCTACCGACAGACAGACCGACCGACCTACCTACCGACCGACATCAGTAAAAAAATATACCCCCTCTTCTCTTCGAAGGGGGCTATAAAAAATTAAAGAAAAAAAATGGTTTTTCCTTCTTTTTTTTTAAATCTAATAGGTAGTTGCAGTCACACTTGTTGTTTTGTCCATTACCAAGTATGAATCATTTCCATAATGTTCAATGTTCAATTTTACATCTGAAACTGTTCACATATCCCAAATTTCAAAGCTGTACATCAAAGTTGAAGGACAAGAAAGCAAGTCACTTTGGCAAATTATCTCGGTAAGCTGATATCAAATTTCAATTTGACAACTAAAACTGTGCACATGGTCTGAATTACAAAAATGTACATCAAAGGACCAGAAAATGGATCACTGCATCAAAAACTAGGTCAGCTAATATCACAGTTAAAATTTGCATCAAAAACTGTGCACATGGTCCAAATTTTAAAGCTGTACATCATAGGACAAGAAAGTAGGTCACCTTGTCAAATTATCTAGCTCAGCTGATATCAAAGTACAATTTTACATCTAAAACTGTGTATATGGCTGTACATCAAAGGACAATAAAGTAGGTCACTTCTTCAAATTATCTAGGTCAGCTGTCTGATATCAAAGTTAAATTTAACATCTGAAACTGTGCACATGGTTCATGTTTCATAGCTCTACATCAAAGGATTATGAACCAAATTATCTAGGTCAGCTGATATCAAAGTTCAAAAGTAGGTCTTTTTAACAAAATCTAGGTCAGCTGATATCAATTTTACATCTAAAACTGTGCACATGGTCCAAATCCCATTGCTATAGAATAAAAAAGAGAATTTCATTAACTTGCCTTTGATAGTCTAGGTCAATTAAAGGTCAATGTCACATTTGAATAAAGTTTGTTTTGAGGAAAGTCTTGTTTTGTCAAAGTATAAAATCAAATCTGTACATAAATATCAAAATCATAAAAAAATTAACCAAAATTTTCAATGATTTGACCTATATGGTCAAGGTCATTTAAAGGTCAAGGTCAGTTCAACCTTTCCAAATATGGAGACAATCCATTGAATAATTTAACTGTCAAGGTCATAAATGAGCCAAGGTCAATTTAAGTTTGATATCTACATGATGGTCTTATCCTGAAGAATTCTGTGTCTTAATATGAAGTAAAGCCATTAGTCAATAACAAGTTATAGCAAGAAAATGAAAATTTCAACAATTTGACCTTCAAGGTCAAGGTCATTTATGAGTCAAGGTCAATGTCTGTCTGGTTAACTAATAGGTCTAAACTAAAAGAAAGTCATGTTCAAGTTTGAAGACTGTTAGTAGTGAGTGAATCCATTCAAAAATAACAAAGATATAGCCACTAATAGCAAAATTCAGGCAAAATTTAGACATTTGACCTTCAAGGTCACTTATGAACTAAGGTCAAGTTTAGTCTTGTCTAATTGAAGGTCTTGATCAAAGGGCAGGAGTTATTGTGGCCAACTATGAAAACAATACGTACACCAAGAACTTGAAAAATTATGACCAAGCCTGTACCAATACCTCTATTTTTATTTGTTTGGGTCGTCAGACCAAACAAATAATGGTAGCGAAATTTCAGAGTCTAATGTTGTTAATTGCAAATGCCGAAAGTAGTCCACTTTTTTGAAGCGGTTACTTCCCTTTTGTATGTACACTAACACCGAAAAATTCAGGGGACATCACTGCGTAAAGATGGTCAAAGACAGGCGCATTAATTTTCAAGCAAAGTAATTCCCGAATGGTCGAAGATTTCTAATATTCTTTTATTGTATTTTCGGATGGAAAATAAGTAAATACAAAGCGGACATTCAATCTCTGACACAGTGACACAGAAGTTTACGACAAACCTAACAACAAGTAGTTCTCAAAACAGCTTAAAACTTACGATTTAAAAGAAAGAAATATTTTTATTTTGTTACAAGTATCCAACAAATTACAACGCATTCAAAGTTTAAAAATAGCGTTGGCTTATAGAATTGTCAATAAATGCACAATCACAAATTACGCGGATGAATATGATTTTATCAATGAAAATACTATTTTTAGCGATGTCTATTACCGAATACTACACAAACCGAGTAGTGGCATATATAGATTCTACATGTTGGACTGTTTGGGCGAGAAGATTTTCGCTAAAATATTTAGTTCAATTTTAAACAACAGGTTTATCCTGAACAAAATACCTCGAAATTAATAAGGATTACAAACCCGAAATGCAATTGAAGTTCTAAATTTAGAATGACTTGATGTTATTCAGGCATTGATTGTGTAATTCCGAGAATTCCGTATGTATCAAACTCTGGTGCCTTGCAAAATGAATTATAATACATAAAAATAAACTTATACGGGAAAATGCATACAGATATACAGTACGATTTAGATTGCAAAGATCAGAAAATACCACAGAACTTGCAGCCCTTAATTTGATTCTTTATAAATATACATGCTTATAGTAAGCTCCAGGATTATTTACATCTGTGTTAAACAACAGATAAAGTCGTTACAAGCCCTAATTTAGAATAATATGGTTTTGTTCAGGCCGTTCACATATAAATTCACCGTGGCTGAAGGGTTTTCGGGCTCGCTTAGGAAGCGAGAGTTCTGGAGTTCAAATCCCAGTAAAGGTTAGTCCAATATATTAGACGTTACAGGCTTGTTATAGTTTATGTCGGTCAAGCCTGACGTCTAATAGGTATTGCTCAAAAACGCATAGCATCATAAAAAAATCAAAAAATGTCTTTTGTCTTGCCTTTCAAGCTTTATTCAAAAGCTTATCTTCTTTTCTTTCAAGTTCATGCTCAATCATACACAAAAACTCTCAAACAATGTACTTATCAATTTAAAATAAAATATAAACATCAATCTATTTTTGTCTATCAGCCATACTGGTTAAGCAAGGTGCTTTACAGATTGATTCCAAATTTTTGAACGGAAAAATATATTCGAACACACTGACGGTGCATGGGCAATTATTTCGTTAAAAAAATATTCCGTTAGATTGTTCTGACTCAGTTAAACGCTTGCATTTGAATTAGCCAATCAGGTTTCGCGCACCTTATGGCCGCCATTAGTTTATCGGCTGTAAAAAGAATTGAAATACATGAGAGGATTTAATCATGATTTTTCGGATGTGACAGTTTAATTATTTTGACAAAAGGTATTTATTTTTTAGTTTTGTTCATAAATTTGTCAAAACTTATGTAAATACACACTGTCTTCATTGTTTTTCGTTCCGCCCGATTTTCTGGCGGAACATGCTATGGGTTTTTGAGCAATTTCGATATGACGTTGCTTTGCCCAGAAGCAGAAATATCTCAAAGCGACGTCATATTTATAGGACTAAGTAAAGGTAACTCATTTTTTTTCAAATTGTTTAAGTCAATTAAATATTGGATTGAATATCAGTGTTGCAATTAGTCTTATAGCCAATTTACTACAATTAAAACGCTGGAAAGCATTGGTGGCACTATACATATAATCTCACAACCTGCACCTTTCTTACATTCTGAGACCCAAACAAATTCAGCGCCTTCTGTGCTTTGATTTTCATTGGGGGGGGGGGGGCAGAGTGGGGAACTGTGAAAATCTTTGGAATCTGACATCCTCACATACCGTACCATGTCATTAAGTTAAAAGTATGTCTTTACCAAAGGTTTTATCATCAAAAATCCGAATTCAGTAGATACATTATAACTTTCTAGAAAATTTTCAGACAAATTCATCATGTCAGAAATGCAACATTCCTACTTTCAGTTTAACGAAAGGGACGTTACTCTAGTAGATCAGAATTTCCGGAAATTGGCGAAATCACTAAATCACGTGACTTGAAGTGGTATCCGGTTGTAGAAAGTACAAAAAATACTTAAAATATGACTTAATTCTATACAATTTGGCGGTTAAATATTGTTTATTAATCAGATCCTATATCATTTTGTAGATGTTACCAAAATTGTAGAAAGTCAAGTATGATTTAACGTTAGAATGATATTAAAATTTGACAATGTCGACCGTAAAAAAGCTTCTTTCCAAAATCGATGCAAGTGGCCAACAAAATCCGCTGATTGGCAAAGTGTTTATCATAGGAAAGTTTACAGTGACAGTGGAAGATGTCATTGCCCAAGGTAAAATTTAATACTTTATAATGATGCAGATGTTTTTAAAAGGTTCTATACATTGCTCTGCAGTAAAGGGGGCGGATACATGTAACATGTCATAACATTTTTACTGAAAAAAACAACAGTTTTATTGAAGCAGTCAAACTTGGAGGGGACTTCCTTGTCAATCGATGTTAAACTCATGGAAAAAGCTCACAATAAAGTTAAGCTGCGGACAATTAAAATTTTTGGCCCAACTTGTCTATGGGAAAGTGGCATAAATTTATTTAATAATTTGCACACCCCTGCCCAACAAAAAACATCATAGCCAGTAACACCATTGTCCAAGATCCTGTGTGGAAAGCATGATCAGGCTTGCAATATACATGTAGATTTAACAAATATATATCAATAAGAATGCAAAGAAACGTTTAAAAGATGTTTCATCTGATGGTAAATGAAAAGTGCGGGAATAATAATAAAACATGACGTCATTTACGACGTCACGTCAGTAAGTTGGTTCCCAGCACTGTGCACCCTGGTATTTCTTCACTGAAACAACGTTACGGGCTGAAATTCAGAACAGTGAAAATTACCAAATTGATATTTTCACTGTTTCAAACAGTGAAATAACAGTTTTTTAAATTCATTGATATATTTCTATAAACTACCGAAAAGTAGGGCTGTCATTGAATATCGCGATATCGATATTCATCGTCCGACAAAATATTGATTCACACTTTCAAATATCGATACAAGCTAAAATTTATTTATTTCTCTCAGTGAAAATACCTTTCTATTTTGCGTAATAAGAGAAGTCAATTTTTCCCAGTTTTCTTGGCTAATTTGAACTTGAAACTCTGTTTTCAATTGTGAGTGACAAAAATAACAGAAAAAACAAACTTTTGTTAGTATTTGTAATGTCTAATACAAGCATGCATAACACCATGATCCTAATTAAAAACACATATTTAAATGTTTTTCATTGCACCTACTGTTAAAGTTGATATATCGTTGATATTTGTCTCTAGATATAAAAGCATACCTAATCAATACAAAAAGGTATATTAAATGCATTAATATGTGCCTCATGGAAGCTGTATGTGTTCCATTGTTCCATAGTGCGTACAAAACACAAAAGATGTAGAAATGAGAACACCATATGATGCGCCTGAGAGATTAAAGCTCACAGAACAAATTCTAAATGGAAGGTCTGTTTGTAGCAGTGTAGAGTATAGTGTACTTACACTTGTGATTTAAACATGGAGCGCGGAGGAAGGTAGTCTTGTACTGGTGTAACTCTCCAGGAACGATGGTTAGGAAAACTACCCGCCTATATGACTGAAATACTGTTGGGAAAAGGCGTAAAATGAAACAAACAAACAAGCAAACAGGAACATGGTTTAAAATGCATTAAATGTGACAGATGCTGGGATGGAAGGATATTTAGTATGATGCCTTACATGAATAATCGTATATATTTACCCATTTACAAAGTATCAGACAGTTTTAGAAGTCAAAGTTTATAAGGAAGTAGACTAATCATTGTTATGAGTTTGTGATATATTTGTATTACAGGGGGATTTGCAGTTGTGTTTCTTGTGAAAGCTGCAAATGGAAACAGGTATGCCCTCAAGCGAATGTTTGTCAACAATGATCATGATCTTGCAGTATGTAAAAAAGAAATCCATATAGCTGTAAGTAATTTATCAATGTAATTTCAAAAATATATTCAAGATTTTGTTTCTTTTCTTTAGTTATGTTGTATCGCCTGTTAGAAATAACATCTTGCAAAATTGTTGTAGTCATTTTCTCACCAATGTAGACACTATTATTTAAAAAAAACATGACAACTTTATTTAAAAGACACTTCTTATGTACAGTCAACTCCGCTTATAACGAACTCAATGGGACATTAAAATATCGTTCATTATATCCTAAGTTCGCTTAAAGCGAAAAAACAACAACTTTCTTTGATTTGTGTGGGCGGGCAAATTTGCAGGGAAGAAGCCATATCTGTCACTGGTCACCGATGATATCGCTATATTACGGCAGCGGTTATTTGATGCAGGACATTTTATTTAACAATATATTATGTACATGTATTTGATTAATTGTAGACAAATGTTTCAAATTTTATATGCATAATTTATACATTTAATCCAAACAAAATTTTGAACTACATGAATGCATCTACATATATATGTATTAATGCATTGTTTATAAAGCAATTTTATAATTACTTGGGGTGCGAAACTTACCGTAACAAAGCAGTTGATTTGCAATATTTTGTGAGAACATTTTACCAAAATATTTATTCCCTGAAGCCATAACTTACCTGTACATTCACTCGATTGAATAATTATCGAATAGCGGTATTTATGTATTGATCTTTAATCGAGCGCATCCCGATATTTCAATCAAAACAGTTTGTTAAAATTGACGAAATTATCATGTTTTTCGCTGTTTGGGACTTGAAAAATGGTTCGCTATAGCCAAAAATTCGTTATAAGCGAGTACGTATTAAGTGATGGGATTTTATATAAAATAAAGAAGGAATTGGCCAGGGATTTCAGATTTGTTCTCTATTACCAATAATTCGTTAAAAGTGAGTTCGTTATAAGTGGAGTCGACTGTATATAAATTGGCCTTGGAGGTTTCTGATGCATTCTAAACTGGTCAGTTTAGACTTTATCACCCACTTAAATGAAGGCAGTTCAGGTTGGATCTTAAAAATGTTAAGTTGAAAATGTCAAGTGTTTGAATGTAATAAAACCATCAAATGGTCAAATTTATCACTTCTGTAACAGTATTTTATTTCCATTGTATTGTAAAGCTATATGTTTATGATAATCATACACAGCCCTACACTTGATAATGATTGATCTTATTGACTGTTACATGTACCTGATCTTTATGAAATTAGAAATTAATGCCACCATGAGCATATGATGTAAGGTTAGGAACACTTTGACTGTGCCTAATTAAGCCCTAATTGGTAATAACTATATAACATATTCCAGACTATTGAGACAGTCATAGTTCCATCTTGTTCTCTTTCTGAAATATTGTTTGTGTTTTACTTTTTGTTCTTTATAAAACAAAATAGTTGTTTAGTTCACTAGAGTTTGTGTTGAATTATTCAAGGATAGGTCAAAGTCGAATTGCATAATGACTAATTAGTAATGATATAATGCATGTAATACAATAAGGAAGTATTTTTATTTAATATCTTTTGTTTCAGAGAACATTAAGTGGTCACAAGAATATTATACGATTTGTGGAGTCTAGTGTTACAGTGACCCCAAATAAAGTTTATGAAGTTCTCATTCTTATGCAGTATTGTAGAGGTAAGCTGTTACTATACACATATGGAGAGAAATAATTTTATGGTTTTTTAGTTAAAGAAAATCAAGACTATTTTGCTGTAAAATAAGAAAGTGGCCTTGTTTAAATACAATTGGTAAATAGTTAAAAAAAAAAAACAACAAGGGCTGTCATTTAATATTATGCTACCTATATATTGTTAATATTCATTGGTCAATTTAGTATATAATTTAGAATATTGATACAATTTAAAACGCATTGCAAATTATCTCTCTATATTTTTTGTCTGAAAAAAGAAGTCTCTCCTCTTACTGTTTCTTAGGAAGCTTGAAACCTGATCTCCAAGAATATCTGTGGCCGAGTGGTTAATGTCGTTGACTTCAAATCACCTGTGTCTCACCGCTGTGGGTTTGAATCCCAACAGGGACTTTTGATTCTTTCATGTGAGGCAGCTAACTAGCGATCTAACAGAAATGTCAATGGATCTACTGGTGCCCATTTGTGCTTGAAATAATGCATGGATGGGCACCTAAGGTCTTCCTCCACCTGTTAAGCTGGAAAGTCTCCATATGACCTATACTGTGTCGGTATGATGTAAAACCCAACAAAAAAAAAAGAAATTAAGGACTAAATATATTGATGTTAAATTTTCCTTTAATGACAACCCTAACAGCAACACTGTTCATTTGGTAAATTTCTGGCTCTCATGTCGAAGGAAGACATCTGGAGCCTTTTCCTGCATTATATCAGACATTAGTGGAATTCCATGTTGAACAATCAATCTTTTGTATAAATCTAGGTAGATAGCAGCCTCTCTGATATAGGTATATTGAATGAGGATTTAGTTTAATAGACTCCAAAATAACCAGATGTCACTGTAGAGTTAAGAAAATATTTTTATTGGGCATATTGGGATTCTATGTAGTGTGTATGATGGCCATCATTATACAAGTGAGGTAATAATTTTATTCAGGGACTGTGATACAGTTAATGAATGACCGTATAGGTCAGGGTCTAGGTGAGAGAGAAATCATGCGTATATTCTGTGATACCTGCGAAGCTGTATCTAGACTTCATCATTGTCAAACACCTATAATACATAGAGATCTTAAGGTATGTAAAACTTTTGTATCTGTTTGTCTTTTCTCATCATTAAGTTTGGCAGAATGTTACTTAACAGTCTTAATAGATGTGTTTCAGAAGAGTTGAGTTGAACAGGGATCTGTCCTCTTTCAAAAATTCTTTTAAATTTCCTAAGTGTGATGTATTACGTCTGAGGAATAAGTAAGCTTCAAAGGAAGTAGTGTCTTGCAAGTTTGAAATAAAGTACATGTATGTGTATTAAGTTTGTGGGAACAAACTTTAATTCATCTTCCTCTGTATCGAATTTTCCTCCATGCTTTATAAATCATTATCAATCTGGAATAATTATATGCAGTCTAAAATATAATTAGTTTTGTTTGAAATAATTGTTTTTACTTGGTAAGGAGATATTTAAAGATATATGTATATATTTGATAAAGTTCAAGGTTTTATTTTTCCAAGTTATTATTGCTGCAGAAAGAATTCTGAACGTAATTAATTTTTTTATGTCATTATTTGAGTGAGAAGTTTTATGCTTAAATTGGATGTCTTTGAAGTGAATATTGATGAGTTTTCAATGTAGTTATTGAAAATATTTATAAAGATGTTTTGTATGTTACAGTTAGAGAATGTGTTGATATCAGATGATGGGCATTATGTGTTATGTGATTTTGGAAGTGCTACAGCACGAGTGTTAGATAAAGAACAGCATGATATTAAACAGATAGAAGATGAGATACAAAAGTAAGTTTTATAATGTACACCTGTTATATTTCTAACTAACTTATTCGTGGTCAAGCTGTCAAACAACTTGTTTAGTAAGGACTGCTTCAGCAGTGGCAAATATGCAGTGACAAATACGGGATTAAATCTTAATTACAATGCAGAGAATTATATTGATTTTTCCATTAAAGGTAGGATATAGAAATTAATGTGATTTTCAGCTCACTGAAGCACAAAGTGCTCAGAGATGAGATATTTTGATTGCATAAAGTATGTCTTTCATTGTTTGTTATGGTTCATTTTTAACAATTTCTTCAGTCATCACTTCTCTAACTACACGGGGAATTTTTGCCAAATTTAACTGGAATGATCTTTAGGTGGCCTTTAATGTGATATGTTAATGGCTTTAATCTGATGCACATGTAGGTGACATGAGCTGAATGTAGACTTGAAATCTTTAAAAAAAATTCTTACTGTAAACTGCTATATCCGGAGCCATACATGTAGATATTTTAGCATGAATTCATTACCTTGTAATCCTCTATAAAAAACTTTTTAGGGTCAAAATTGGCCCTGCTGCTAGTGGGGAGGGAGTATCATTTAATCTAAATAAATTGCTGTATATAGGAAAATCTGTTTAAGTCTACTTGTGTGAAAGATATTTGACATGTACTTGACACGTACTGTAGCTTTGTTTGTAAAACTCTACAAAAGTCATTAAAATAAAGCCAGCTGAGAAAAAATTGGCTTGCTCTGAGGTCACTTAGTTTAAATAGACTTACCTAGGAAAACACATTTGCATCATCTTGTGCGAAAATACCATTCCCACAAGGTGATGCATGCACTTCATGCCAAATATCTAAGCAATGAGCTTTGTAGTTTCAGAGAAGAAGACTTTCAGACAAGTTTAATGTATTTAAGTCTATGTAAACTAAATGATCCCAAAGGCAAGGACATTTTTGATATGGTTTTAAATCTTGTAGGATATAGTTTCAGGCAATCATTGTCTTAAGTATTTTGTCTGAAATTTTACAATCTCATTTTTCAAGTTGTCATTTCTCTGTTGATGTAATGTTGTATGATTGAGAAAATGGGTAATGTTTCTATTTTAGGTATACAACTATATCATACAGATCACCTGAGATGATAGATTTATATGGTGGTAAAGCTATTACAACAAAGGCTGATATATGGGTATGTATTCACACACAATATATTTCAAGTTTTTTCCTGGCCCATTATTTATGACCCCCACCCCCCCTGCTAAATTTTTTGAAAGGGACATTGATAAGGTTTCTGAATAGAATTTCTTAATATTTTAGAACAATTGCTTATAAATAGCATCAAGAAAAGAGCTAAAATACTTATTACCACCACATTACATATAAAATTAAAAAAATAGCATAATGTAACATTTTGTTCAGTTCAGTGCAACATAAAAAAAATGACCTTTGAAAGTGGTAATGTCACAAAAGTAAAGTGTTTAAATGTCATCAAAAGTAAACCGTTAAAATGTCATAAGGATATCTAAGTGAAAATCACATACATATATATGTAAGTACTATTCACTGGATCATTGTGAATACACAGACATGCAAATTTAGCACTGAAAGAATTTAAGATGTAATAAGATTATATTAGTTATAGTGGCTAGAAACATTGACAGAAACATTGACAGAATGTCTTATCCTGGATAATCTAGGAGAAAATCACTGAAAATTACAGGAATTTTGTCTATTGGGAAATAATTTCCTCTGTAGAGAAAATTGTAGAAGCTGTTGATATATCTCACCAATTTAAATTGCAAGTTTTCTGTTTAAAATATGAAAATTTGTTCTACATCAGACTTACAGGGTCTCTAACATTTATAACAATATTAGTTCTGACAAACATTCTTTTAAACCCATTTCATATGGACAGCTTTTAACAGACTTTTTGTAAAGTAATTTCTATCTAATTCTGGTTAAGTGTTTCCTGTATTGTTAGTATTAGCTGGCAAAAATTAATACATTGTTAGTTTTATACTATCCAATATAGTTAAACAAATATTTCAACACAGGTAATATTTTAAGGTTTATTTATCTATGTATTTTTAGCACATGAACGTGGATTGTTTTGTGTAAAGCATAGAGGCCATTTTTTTCCAGTTAACAAAACTGTTGAAAATTCATAATTTAATTGTGAACGATTCCCAGAAACATGTGAAAATTTCCCTTTCTCCAATCCAGCTCATCTTTTAAACATGTTTAGCTTTTTATTAAAATCATTATGTATAAATTTGTCTTATCATGGGAAACAATGTGAATGTTTTAAAATTGATATGTTTTTGAAGTTTTCCCTATTTTCTACTGGTAAAATCTAATGCTTAAATCTTCAAATTTAATAAGTATGGGCTGTTTTGAAAAAAAGTTATAGAATCACTGATGAAATTACGTTTTGTATCTCTTATGATGTTAGTTACTATTGAAGTAGTCTAACCTGTCAATAATGGTCAGCAAAGGGACTGACCGGAAATGACTGTAATAGACAGATGATCACTATATTACATTATTAATATTGGTCTGCATTATACTAGCTGCTGTCTGCATGGAACAGGGTCAAGTTATAATCATTTTGAAATTTCAAGTTGTCTAGTGGAAACTTTATATTACAGCTTGGATCATGTTATATAAAGGTGACCACTAACACACATTTTAGACAGTAATTTTTTTTCATTGCAGGCATTAGGTTGTTTATTATACCGGCTGTGTTTCTTCACTCTTCCATTCGGTGAAAGTTCTTTGGCAATACAGAGTGGCAAGTTTACTATACCTGATAACTCTAGATACTCCAAATATGTGCACTCTCTTATAGGTATGTTTTACTATGCTATTTGAAAATATTTAATGATAATCATGGGAAAAAACGTAATCAATAATATGTAAATTATTCATATTACAGATATGAATTATTCATCTTTTTAACTTTAATGAGGCTGATCATTATACGAGAATCGTAGTATATTACTTTTACTTTACTCTTTAACTGTTTCAATAAATAAATAAACATGTTATATATAAGTGCCAATTTTTAGATTTATGCCGTAAGGAAATTACTATATATATCAATATTTCAGTACTTGAAAATTATGTTTATTGTCAGTAAGTTAGTTCTGGTTACCTTCCCATAATGAAGGGAAAAATACCCCTGTTTCATTACAAGATTAACCAAAACTTGCTGTAGAAAAATTCAAAATGTAAACAAGGATGATGTATTTTAAGGTAAATGATATATTTGTTAAATTTTTTAAAGACAGAAGATGACAGGGTACTGATTTAAATGCTATGATTACATGAGACTATATTGTATCAATGTATTGTAATATATGTGTGTATTTATGACAGGTTACATGTTAGAAGAAGATCCAGATAAAAGACCAGATATATTTCAAGTTTCCAGTGTAGCATTTAGATTGGCTCGTAAAGAGTGTCCTGTGCCAAATATGAATGTAAGTGTATTATACCTTATACAGGGGAGGTAATTGCCACATGTAGAAACAATCAGTTTTCTTTACTATTTATTTTCATGCCATTTTATGGCCAGACTATCAGCATGTTCAATTATATGAACTCAGAATTGTAGATGTTGTTAAACTGCTGGAACCAAAAGTGATCAGCCTTGGCTACCAGTATGGAGCTAGGTCAGACTGCACATCCGTACAGCCTGACCAGGCTGTTTACTGTCGGCTGACCAACTTTAAATTTTCATCCCAAAAATTGATAATGGTCTGTTCCAAAGATGGAAGTCGGACAGGTCCATTTAAGAAATTCAGCAGTTTAAAAATAAAAGTTATTTTGCTGTACCATTTAAACTACTGCTTGAAGGATAATATGTAGTATGTGAAATTTAGAAGAAAACTTTCTTATCATATTGAATTATGCATATCATATTCTAAGTGATGTTAATGCTATTTAGTGAAATATGAAGCAGTTATATTTTACCTTGTCAATTTTGGATATGTGTTTATATTTAAGGGAGCTCCAATACCAGACATCAACCAACTTCCAGTTCCACTCACAGAGAGTGACTCAAGACAAGTCAAAAATACTGTCAAGTTAGTATTTTAATGTTAATGATTCTTATTGAGATCAGTCAAAATTATATCAACTTTGCTTTATTCCAAGAATTCTAGAATTTACATTTATAATAACTCACATAGGGATGGAACAATTTAAAAATTAAATTGGTAACAAAAGAAAAAAAACTTTGAGCACTTAATGTGAACTTTCCATTAAGTCAAGAGAAAATATTTTGTAACACATTTTATTATACGTGTATACCTTTAAGTTTTCTGATGAGAATACATTTATTTTTTGTGGGTAAATATGAAAATCATATTCAATACTTGTATTTATTGACTAGCCTGTGTTATATGTCAAACATAACGATGGACTAGTTGTGTGTAGAGCATTTGTACATATCTGCATGTCTGGAACCATTTGTGAGGGAAAACCCAAGTTTATTTTTAGAATTGTCAGTTTTTTTCACAACATTGATGTATATGGTACTAAATGCACCTAAACTGACAATGAAATGTGAATGAAACAATAAATGGGCTCATGTTGAGTACAACTTTACACAATAAACTCAAGCAATATAACCCATCAGAGTAGCACATCCCCGAAATATTCCCTATTCATTTAAAGATTTGATAACAAATTATAAAACAACTGAAATGTTTAAATTTAAATTGGATGAACTGTTTTAATTTTTCTAATATATGACATAATTGTATTTTCAACAGATCTACTCCAGTGACTACAGTAGAAAGTACAACTGTAGCTCCTCGTCAGAGACCTAAGGGACAGAACTCTGCTGGTACAAGTGGGCTAGCCCCTCCTGTACAGACTTCTATAGCTCCAAGACGGAGACCCCAAGCTAATGCTGGTAATTCAGGTAATACTCTTATTTCCTACCTAATAAAGATGATTGAAAATGTTTCATAAGTAAATAAATGAAAAAAATGCATTTAGAACAAGTTATTTTATAGATAATAAAGGAACTATCAGTGCATTCTCTAATTTGATTTTGATAGTGATTTTGATTATTTGGATTTGTATATATAAACAACATTTCTTGTTTTATATATGGGAATATAATGACATGTTGATATATCATGTACAGATTCAGCTGCTCAGCAACAAGCTCAAGCTTTAATTCAGCAACAACAACAACAACAGATCCAGCAACAACAGAAGCAGCAACAACAATTGCAACAGCAGCAGCAACAAGACTTTGCTCAACAACAACAAGCACAACAACAACAAGGAAGTACACCTGGTGTACAACAACAGGTAATAACTTGCATTTGACACATCCATATTTTTTTTTTGAGATAAACATTAGAAATATGTTTATTTGCATATACAAAGTAAAAATAAAAAGAAAAAAAAAATTGGAAACCCATAAAATTTTTATTTTGGGGTAAAATAATTTAAAAATCCCCTTTCCCAAAACCTTATCAGAATTTTTGTCTAAAAAGATATAAAAATTTTTATTTTTTGAACAAAGGTTTCAAAATCCAAAGGGGAAGGGGGGCCGGGGGTTACGGTTTTTTTTTATTTTCATCAAACTTTTCTGAAAATTAAGGGGTCAAAACTTTAATTTAAGTTTTTGTTTTTTTTGGGAAAAAACAAGAAAAAAATTTTGTTTAAACCTTTTGGGTAAAAAACGGGGCCCACAATGCCCGGGTTTCCAGGGGAAAAACCCATGCAAATCCCTTTGAATTCCACATTTTTGGGGGTTTCTGTTTATTTTACAATTTCCTTTTTTAAGAATATGTTTAAATTTTGAGGCATTTAAGGGAACAATATTTCAGTTTTATTTTAAAACAATTTTAATTTAAATGTAGGGTTTTTTAAAAGAAAAATTTTTTTGGGAAAAACCAAGAAATTCAAGTGTAATTTTAAACCGTTTTACCGAAAAAAAAATTATATTTTTCCGCAGGCCGTTTTGTTTTAGGGGCGGGGTCAGGGGGGCCCTTTTCCCCAAAAGGTTTCACACTCAAGGTTTATTTACCAACGGGCCCCGGGGGGTGAAAATATCCCTCCCCCACCCGGGAAAAAACCAGAAATTACATGCCAAACAAAACCCCTACAGCAACAAAAAAAAAGGCCTTCAACCCCAAAAATTTAAAAACCAGCCCCCAAAGGCTGCCTTCCCAAACCCAACCAGGTTTCAAAGCAAACAACCCAGCATGTTGGTCCCCCTCACTTCCATAACACACAAGGGTTTAGCCCTTGTGGGAAAATTGCCCCCCCCCCCAAGGAACATATTTAAAAACTTAAGGGGAAAAGCCAAAAAGAAAGCTTAAAAATTTTAAAAATTGGGCATTTTTTAAAAAAGTTTTATTTTTTTAGTTTAAAATTTTTTGAAAGTCCCTAGGTAAATTAAAATACTTTTTATAATTTGGTTAAATTTCAATTTTAGCTTTGATTTTTCAACAAATTTTTTTTTCAAAAAAATTTTTTGGCCCTGCCCCTTTTGGTTAAAATTAAACCCGCAATTTTTTTAGCTCCCCCCCCTGTCAAAAGTTGACATGGGGTTTTTTGTGATCGCTTTTCGGTTCCCCCCCGGTCCTCCTTTCCCTTTCGTCCTCCGAAAAAATTTTTGGTTTTAAAATTTTGGACTTTCCCCTTTCAAAAAAAAAAAACCAAATGACCCCAATTTTTCCTTTCCCAAAAAACTTCACAGGAATTTCCCTTTTGGGGGTCCCCTTTTTAAAAAAAATTTTTTTCAAAGAAATTTAAATTTCCCAGGGCAAACTCTGTTCCCCATGGCAACCGAAAAAGGAAAAAAACCTTTTTTTAAAATATCTTTTTTTAAAAAACAACCCAAAGGGGTTAGAGGTTTTAAGATTTTTGGCCCTTTGAAAAACCTTTTCTTTTTGGGTTGAGTTTCTCCCCAAGTTTTTTTTCAAAAATAAACCCTCCGGGGGGTCAAAATTTGGGCCCCCCCCCCCAAAGGGGGTTCCAAATTGGTTTTTCCCCCTTTTTCCCGGCATAAAAAGTAAAAACTTTAAAAAAAATCTTTTTTTTAAAAAAACCCAAAAAGAGTTTAAAAATTTTAAGAATTTTTTGGGCCTTTGAAAAAAATTCTTTTTTATTTGGTTTGTCTACCAAGTTTTTTTAAAAATTAAAAAACCCCCTGGGTTTTTGGGGGTTTCCCAAAAATTCCCCCTCCCCCGCCCCCGGGTAAAAAGGGTTCCCCCCCATTTGGGGGATCCTTTCCCTTAATAACCCCTTGGTGGCCAAATTTTTTTAAGTTAAAAAAATTTTAAAAAATTTTCTTTTTTTTAAAAAACCTTTTAGAGCTAGGTTTAGAATTTGGCATAAAAAACATTTTCCCAAAGTGAATTTTTCAAACCAAGTTTTTTTTAAAAAAAACCCCGGGGGCGGAAAAAATTTTGGGCCCCCGGGCCCCGGGGGGTAAAATTGATTTTTTTCCCTATACGCTTTATAGTAAAAAATTTTAAAAAAATCCCCTTTTTAAAAAAACCAAAAGAGCAAAGGCTTAGATTTTTTGGTTTGAAAACCTTCGAAGTGAAATTTTTAAGTTTTTTTCAAAAAAAAACCCCTTTGGGGTTTAAAAATTTGCCCCCGCCCCAGGGAAATAAAAATTTTCCCTATATGAAATATGTAAAAAAAACCAATCTTCTTTTAAAAAACCCCAAAAGAGCTAGAGCTAAATTTTTTGCTAAAACATTTTTCTAATGAGTTTTTTTTACCAAGTTTGTTCAAAAAAACCCCCGGGGGTTTCCCAAAAATTGGCCCCGCCCCAGGGGTTTCATTTTTTTCCCTATAGGGCATTTTGAAAACCCTTAAAAAATTTTTTTTTTAAAGAATTTCAAAGGTTTAGAGCAAAGGGAAAATTTAGAAATGAAACATGTTTTTTAAGGGGGTGTCTACCAAGTATGTTCAAAAAAAAGGGCCCGGGGGGTAAAAAAATTTCCCCACCCGGGGGGGGGGGGCATTGATTTTTTCCTTATAAGGGGGGATAGGAAAAAAACTTAAAAATTCTTTTTTGAAAAAACCAAAAAAGTTAAAGTTTAGAAAATTAACCCAAAAAAACATCTTTAAGAAAAATATCTACAAAGTTTTTTTCAAAAAAAAGGGCCCGGGGGAAAAAACTGGCCCCCTGCCCCAAGGGGTTTCATTTTTTTACTATAGGGTGTAAAAGGAAAAAAACTTTAAAAAACCCCTTTTTTTTAAAAAAACCCCAATAAAAGGTTTGGGAATTTGGGATGTTTAGCTTTGAAACATTTTTTTTTTTAAATGGGGTTTTTACCAAGTCTGTTCAAATAAAAAAAAAAAAAAACCCCTTTGGTAAAAAGGGGCCCCGGGGTTGGCGGGGGGGGCTATATACAGGTAAAGCGACCTCGGGCCCACCCAGGGGGCCCCTCTTGGTTTTTGGGACTTTTTTACCTGACATTCTTGTTTTCATGTTTGGGGGCAGTTGCCCTTTTAAAGGGAATTTTACCCCAGCTGCCTGTACAAAACAAAAATATCTTTTTAAAGGGGCTGCAAAGAATTTTTGAATTTTTTCCCACTTGTTTGAAAGGGGCCCCCAATTTACATTTTTTTTTAAACTTTACACGATTGTTTAAAAAACCAAAAACGATCCCTTCCCAAAATGTTTGGTACTTTCTAGGGGTCCCAAATATTTATTTTCCATGTTTCAAAGTTGCCAAATGATAATTTCATTTAATACATGTACAAAAAATAATTTTTCGGGGCCCTCATCACAAAAGGGGCGTTACCCCCATTTCTCATTGGAAACCCCCCTTTTCCGTTTCCTTTTAAAAAATCAAAGGGAAAAATAAAACTTTCCCAAAAAAAAACAAATTTTTGGCAAAATAAATTTTTTTAAACTTTAAAATGAATTAATTAGGTTGAAAAAAATTTTTCATAAAATTAACAGGCAAAATTTAAAGGTATTTGTAAGAAAATTTTCAAAACCCTTAAACGAAAAATTTTATTGTAAACGTTAGAATAAAAATCATGGTTTCCCAGTCACATCATTTTAATTTGTCCCCAAAGTTTTTGTTTTTTAAATTTTTGAAGGAAAACTAGCCCAATGAAAAAAAAGATTAAAAAAAAAAAAAGGGGCCACCCTTTATTTATTTATATTTTTTTTGGTAAAAAACACCTTAAAGGAAGAGATATATTTTTTTACTTGCAGTACATGATCAGCAAACAAAAAAAAGGAAAGGGTTTAATGCACAGCAACGAGGGAGTCGTCAGATGAAAAACCAGTTTTAAATCGGGTTATTTTTAAAAGGAGAGGTTACGGGGTTCACGGGAGATTTTTAGAACAAAAAAACAGGGAAACCCCAAATTTTTGGTATGTTTTAAAATTTGTGAATATTTCTCTTTTAAAAATAAAAAAAAGGCTCAAATTTTTTTTATCTTCATTTTATTAAACATTTCTGGTTTGGCGGGGAAAGTATCTGAAAATAGATATTAAGCTTTAAATGGGATATCTTGTCCCACCAACTGCCTTGGCAAATTTTGATAAAAAAATTCAAACAGGGAATTATCCTTACGTGTTTTTTTGTTTTACTAATCATTTACAGTTGCTGAACAAAGAATTGCTGTCTGTATTATTACAAATAGAAATTTAAAATTTTGGTTGACAATTCCTTATTTTGGAAGGGAAACTTTAATTTTACCAAATAGCCCAATTAATGTAATGCTTGCCCATGTTAAACTGGTAACACCTAGGTGTTAGCCCATTTTTAAAAAATAACTCCAATATGAAGTTTAGCATGAAAAAATTAACAATAGTATTGTCAGATTTAGGGTATCTGTATTAAGTGATGAGCATTACTATTTTTATTGTGAAAAAAGATTGCCATAGCCCATGTAGGGGTGCGAAATTTGGCAAAAATGAGGGCTACCCTGAGTTGTTATTGGACCATTAATGTTTTTTTTTTTTTAACAGATACCCCCCCCCCCCCCCCCCCCCCCCCCCCCCTTGGAACAGATGGGTGGAGTTGGAAAAGGAGAGGGCCAGCCCCAGTTGAATTGTGTTCAGTGATTAGTGATACCCTCTACCCAACACATGATGTAAATCAGAAATAAGAAAACATTCCAACAAACCATTAGTTAATAAAAAACCTTTCCAGGGACCTCTTGCCCTCAAAAACCACCTAAACCTCCCAGGAAATGTTGATACCCATTTTTTCTTTTACTGAATGACAAGTTTTTCAAAGGAACTTATTCTTTATATGCCATATTACCTTGAAATTTTTATTTTGATATTTATTAAATTAGATCAGATTAGATTGTGAAAAATTAATTTATGTGATTTTTTCCCAAAAACTATTTCAGGGTGTTTTTCTCAACCTCTTGATTCTAAAACACCCCCCTTTAAACCCCAAAGACGGCATTTAAAAAGGTTTCATCGTCAAAAACTAAATGAATTTCTGGCTATCGTAGGGGTTTGGGAAAGGGGGCAGTCCCTTTAGGGAAAAAATAGGGTTTTGGGGGGGCCCAGATACCCTCCAGTGCCATTCTTTAAACCCAAAAACCCAAAAAATTTTTGCAACCACTAGTCCTATAAAACTCCCCATCTAGGAAAATTTTCCCCTTATAAAAAAAATTTTTTTTTACTGGTTCACTTTTTTTTTACTTTTGGTTGGGGAAAAAAACAAAATAAGAGGATTTTAGAAGAATTTTTAATTTTAATTTATTTTGAAAACTCCCTATTTCCATTTTTAAACTTTTTCATAATTTTTTAATGTAGACCCAAAGTTTAAATCTTTCTAAATCAAAGCTTTTTCATTTTGCAAAGAGGGAAAAAAGTGCTTAGTTAAAGGGAAAAGAAATTGAAATAAACGTAAAAAACTGTATTCTTTATCATCAAAGATTGATTAATTCTTGTTAAATTGAAAATTTTTTTTAAATTAACAAGATGTTAAAAAATGCTTTTCCAATTTACACATTTATATTTTTGACTTGACATTCTTTAATTTTTTTAATTGACATTATTAAAAATAATTATTTTTTGTTAGGGGCCAATTGGGAAATGATCGGACAGTTTCCATGGATAAATGGAATCCCCTTTGGAAAGAAGATAATTTGGGAAATTGAGACGGAGGGTTCAATATTTGGGAAAAGGAGTTGTTGATAAAACTACGAAAGAGGTTCAAACAGTAGTTAAGTTTTTCTATATATAGCATTCAAAAAGAGGAATATTGTATGTTTGAGTATTAAATTGAGGCTGGAAATTTGTGTTCTTAATTATACCCCCGCACAACAAAGTTGTAAGGGGGGTATACTGGAATCAGCTTGTCCGGCCGTCCGGCTGTCTGTCGGTTTTTTCTTGTCCGCCCAATAACTTAAGATTCCTTTGACCCTTAGTCTTCATATTTGGCATGGAGGTTAGTCATGATTAGAAGATGACACCTATTGATTTTTAGGTCACTAGGTCAAAGGTCAAGGTCACAGGGGCATTGACTTCAAAAAGCTTGTCCGCCAACTTAAGATTCCTTTGACCTACAGTCGTCATATTTGGCATGGAGGTTAGTCATGATTAGTAGATGACCCCTATTGATTTTTAGGTCACTAGGTCAAAGGTCAAGGTCACAGGGGCCTGGACTTCAAAAAGCTTGTTCGCCCAATAACTTAAGATTCCTTTGACCTACAGTCGTCATATTTAGCATGGAGGTTAGTCATGATTAGTAGATGACCCCTATTGATTTTGAGGTCACCAGGTCAAAGGTCAAGGTCACAGGGGCCTTGACTTCAAAAAGCTTGTACGCCCAATAACTTAAGATTCCTTTGACCCATAGTCTTCGTATTTGGCATTGAGGTTAGTCATGATTAATAGATGACCCTATTGATTTTTAGGTCACCAGGTCAAAGGTCAAGGTCACAGGGGCCTTGACTTCAAAAAGCTTGTCCGCCCAATAACTTAAGATTCCTTTTACCCACAGTCTTCATATTTGGCATGGAGGCTAGTCATGATAAGTAGATGACCCCTATTGACTTTGAAGTCACCAGGTCAAAGGTCAAGGTCACAGGGGCCTTGACTTCAAAAAGCTTGTCCGCCCAATAACTTAAGATTCCTTTGACCCACAGTCTTCATATTTGGCATGGAGGTTAGTCATGATTAGTAGATGACCCCTATTGACTTTGAGGTCACCAGGTCAAAGGTCAAGGTCACAGGGGCCTTGACTTCAAAAAAAGCTTGTCTGCCTAATAACTTTAGATTCCTTTGACCCACAGTCTTCATATTTGGCATGGATGTTGATCATGATTAGTAGATGACCCCTTTTGATTTTGAGGTCACTGGATCAAAGGTCAAGGTCATAGGGACTTTGACTTCAAAAAGTTTGTCCACCCATTAACTTAAGATTCCTTTGACCCACAGTCTTTATATTTGGCATGGATGTTGATCATGACTATAAGGTGACCCCTATTGATTTTGAGGTCACTGGGTCAAAGGTCAAGGTCACAGGGACCTTGACAAAAAAAAAGCTTTTCTTCTCAATTGCTAAAGAATGTCCTGTCTGCAATGTATTGATTTTGACATTTTCACATTTGAAGCATGTAGAATAAATAACTTAGCAATGCACTGGCTTAGTAACCTCAGATTTGGCAGGGAGGTTGTCCTTGAGCTCTAAATGGCCACTGTTGATTCTGACAAAGTGGTATGCGGGGGTATTCACGCCATGATAGTGGCAGTTCTAGTTTAACAAGCTTTGTTATTGATACAGAAAGATTAAATTATGACATAGCCCAGTTTATGTATTGTATTTCAGTATCTGCACATAAAAATGATGCATATTGTTTGGTTACCTTATCATGCAGTCATCTTCTAGCTGTAAATTTCTTTTAAATGTAGCTGTCCTTCACTTCTGTAGGACTTTTGAATCTTTCATATGAGGAAACTATTCAGCTAAAATACAGTGGTTCGACTATGATGCCCACACTTGCCTGAAATAATGCATACTAGGGCACCTGAGGTCTACCTCAAACAAGAAAGCGGGAAATTTGCCTTTTGACTTTCACAGTATTTGTGACTTATAATTCAACAACAAATGTATATGATGATTATTATTTTTCTAGAAACATAGAAATATATCAAATAGCATATAATGTTATCATGCACATAGACTGTATGTATTTTTTTTTAACATTTAGTACATTTGTTTACAGGTATATCAAATGTTAAGAGTAGAGAAGATTTGGTAATGTCCGGGTCTGATTCTTCCACTGATCCATTCCAAAATGCTCCATTTAAAAAGCATGGTAAGTTCTTATTATTTTGTTCCACTTACTAAACTTACATATATGTATAAATTTGTAACAAATTTCAGAATTCTTTTTTCAAAGTGGTAAGTAAACTTTGATATCAAATAAATATTTCGCTATCTTGCGGTGGATATTTTCTTATCTTCATAACTTCTGACTGTTTCCCAAATTATATAATTTCTATCCCAGGCATTTATTTGTTTATTAAAAAGGACATATATTTTCTGTGTGTATATATACATGTGTACCCATAACCATAGCATGTACAATGTGTTAATTATAATGATTATAGTATATTTGCACTAGCACCTGTCAATGGCACTTTTTTTTCTGGTAAAAACAAAAATATATTATAAAATGTATGCTATATTTTGAAAGGATGAGAGAGATTGATTAAAAGACTGTATAAATTATAATTTGTATACTTTTTAGTGTATTGTATATTTTGTGAACTATGTTCTGTTTGGCCGTGGAAAGTTTCAGCTGCCTGTTTGCCCTTTGTGTTTATTAAAACAAGGAAAACTTGGGAATATATTCAGTTAAATTGTTGATAAATATAGCTATATAATGGTTGTATTAATGCCTGTTTGCTTTTTAAAATAGGAATTTGTCCAAATCCTATATATGAAAATTTAATATTGGTGAAATGTTAATTATTGTCAAAAGAAATCTTTTAGCAATATTTTGCACATATATCCTGTAATCTTCACCTTAAACCTCTTGCATTTAAAAGGCAAACAGACTGAAATTTTTCCTTTGGCATTGCAGGTACTCATGTAAGATAACCTCTGCTCTGCCAGCTATATATAGGACTGCATGAAATTACCTCCCTTGTATATGTGCCTGAAATACCAACCACCAAACCACAAGTCTGCTCTGAAGATTGCCTGATTGTTTCTTGTCAGCTTGACTACAGATTCTACTTGATCTTTCCCTGCTGTGCTTTGGTGAAAGTCTGCAGAGTTGTTCCCCTTCATGCTTTTGGAAATGACATCTTAGGAAACAGACGAGGATTTTCTAGTGCTCTGACAATCTCTCTATCTACCTGAAGTGCATTTGGATGTATGCAGTGTTATCTATTGTTAATCTGTGTATCATGTTATTTGACTTTATTTATTTCATCATTCATCAGGTGTTAGATAACATAATTTGTTTCACTGAATGAGCATTTACAGAAATATCAAAGAAAATCTATGCATTCTAAACAAAATTGTTTGCAATTTTAGTATGCAGATTTCAAAGAGTAAATTTTCAAGTTTATATTTATTTGAATATTTTTTTTTGATGTGTAAAACTTACTTGTAAAAGTTAAAGGGTTAGATTGTCTCTGAAGCTTACATTGCTTTTTAGCTTGTCTGTTTCGAAGAAAAAGTTGAGCTTTTATGATCACTGTTTAGTCGTTGTTGCCTCATGCAAAATCTTTACTGTAGCCCATTATTCAAATATTTTACAAATTATCAACATTTAACTTTGAATACTTGCTTATCATGACAAAATGCAGTTAAAAGACAAGTGAAATGATTCTGAAAGTTGGAGTTATGCCCCTTCATAACCTAGAATTTTTGTCAAAATTGGTTAGTGATAGTTGTTGTCTTTAACAGACGAGTATTAACACCACATGAGGTGCTCTTGTTATATTCAATTTTAAACTGAAATCTTTGTTAAATGATATGAACTAAAGTTTTTGTTGATTTTGGTACTTTTAAGCACTTTAGTATTTTGAGAGGCACACATTTAATTTTATATGCTACATTTTTGTATCTGTTTGAGAACCCTTGTATTTGAGTGAATCTATGCCTGTATTTTTTCAGAATTTCATATGGATGGTCCGAACTTAACTCTAGGAACTATATGGGAACAGTGGCGATTATAGATATTGTCATATATAGATAATATATATATTATATATTTAGATACAATAAAGGGAATCATTCAATAATGTATAAATGGTGCTCTCAAAATTGATACTTTTGTTTTATGAAAGTTCATTTTGCTGTGTATTAATTATCTGATTTTTAAATTTGAAATTCAAGTGTAAATTTTCCATTTATATCCGCATGCATTTTCTTTGCCAAAGATAATTTTCTACTTTAAAGATGTATTAATTGCCTCTTTCTAATGTTAAAATCTACACTGAATCAGTTATCTGAGTTAAATCTTGCCTAGAGGTGTGAGATTATGTTCATGCTCTGCTCTGCCCAGCGCTTGAATGTGGCTTATTTGAAGGTTATGATAAGGAGCATATATCTGTTGTGTTGCTTTGTGAGACAGTTCAAACTGTTTCAGTTTCAATTATTGGTCAATCATTGTTACAATAGTCATTCTCTCTTGAAGTATATTACTTATTTGATATATTTGTACATGCACATGTTAAGGTTCTCAATATTCACATTACCAATACATTATAGATTATGAGACTTAATTACATGCTAATTCTGTCATATTTGTTTGGCCTAAACATGATAACTTGAAATACCATTTACTAGTACCCAAGTTTATTCCTTCTCCTCACCCCCTTTAAATGTATCCCCCACAGTGGTGGTTATATATTGTACATGCACAGTATGCCTGACATTTGTAATACTTGCCACAAGTGTACAGTTAATTATAGAGAGAGAGAGATTGGGACAAGTTAAAAGTAATATGTATTCCTTAACCCTTTACTTATTAACAAGGAATAATAGGGCTATGCTTCTCACCATGGCAACGATGTTGGCATAACACTTTTTGTTTAAGGTTTGTGTGCAACTTCATATCATGAAACACTGAAGGTATTGACCTGAAACAATTCACTAATGTGTTCAACAATGATTGTAGGTCACTGCCCGAGGCCCATTACTCTAGCATGAATTTCCAACGAATTGTTCACAAGTTTCAAAAGATATATAATATCAAGCACAAAAATAGTTTATTTTACAAATATTTTATTCAAAAGTTATGAGCTCCATACCTTAAATTTGTATTCCTATTGTGTGTCTCTTTATTCTGTTTGTTTTCAATGTAAAAAAAAAACTACAGAATATTTCACAGTGGCCTTTTTACACTGATTATTTTCTTGTTTTTAATGATTTTTTCTCCCTATAATGTATATTTGGATAATGTACCTTTATATTTTTGTCTTTAAATTTACATTATGTAGATTTCCTTATGCATAATTCTTCAAGACTGGTCCTCTGTGTTTTAGATATCCCTATATATTTTTTTGATAGTTGTTAAATTGTGTTGTACATAATTTATAGACATACATTGGGGTGTATATATATTAAGGTTGTTTTGTAGTTGTTGTTTTTATCAGGGTAGCCATTATGTCATGTGATTATTATTATAGATATGTGATGGTATTGTCTTAATGTTTCTGTTTTCATCTCGGATATTTTATCTTGTTTAATATGTAGACCATTCTATGAACAATAAGAGAATGTTGTTGTGTAAATTTATTTTGTTTGATTAGTTTGTAAAACTAACAGTAGACACTAGAACAATTGGTTAGAAGTGTGACATGATTTTATTTTTGTACTATAATGTTTCAATTAAAATATGTAACAATTTAATTGTACTAGACTCTACATACATAAAAGTATTTGTCAATAATTGTTGATCAAGTGTTGCTAAGTCATGGCAGTTGTGTAATATGGTAAGATGTAATTATATAGAATATTGTGAGGTTTTATATTTTCTTCTTGTTTTGAGGTCAAAGATATTTTGAGATTCATTATGAGTGTTAAGCTAAACACTGTCATACATAATTATGTTATAAAGGGACACTTCTCTTCTTGTAAACCAATAATATTGTTTTATGTCAATAACAAAAAGATAATATACATGTATAAATCTAAGTTAGACAAGCTTTAAATTACATGTAGGTATAGTAAGTACATGTAGGTATTGTGATATTATAATGAAGTGTATATAAATTATGTTTCTGCCAAATTAAAAGCCAAATATATAGAAATTTATACATGAGTAGTTATTTAACATTTTTTGACATTGTTCGTGATGAAACTGAATTTTAATTTGTTGAGGCATTATCCATACTTTTGCAGAATTTGCTGACATTTTTTTCAGAATTTTCTGACATAATCAGAATTTTATGATAGGATGTTTATTTATGATATACATGAGTGAGATCCTAAAGCTAAATAATTTTCTTTAATCAGAAAACCATTTTTTGTTGTTTCCTTTAATTTATTGGAATTTACTTGTTTGTGTGAATGTTTTGTTCCTTGTTATAACATTGTGATTTTTTTCTTGTTAATTCATTTTTATTCTCCAATCACATTGCATTTACAAAATCAGTTGTCAAAATACATATTATTTGTAATAGGAATGTCAGAGTTAGCAATGTCAAAACATTGTATACCACATAAGTTCATAAGTGGCTATAGGTATAATGTATAAGTTATAATGTATAAGTTATAATGTCATTTAGTTTTTGCCTGAAATAACTCACAGAGGGGCATTGAGGTCTTCCTCCACCATTTAAACTGAAAAGTCGCCATATGACCTATGTTGTAATGGTGCGACATAAAACCCAATAAAAAAACATAATTCAATAATTTCAATGTACATTATTATGAAAATATTGTATCAACCACAGTCATACTAATTTGCAATCTTTATGCTGTTATATTTACGATGATTATGATAATGTACCACCACTGTAAAGATGTATTGATTACCAGCAGTATTTTAATTACATTTACCATCTAAATCTGGCTTTTTACTGATTTTTAAAAAAGAAAAAAATTAAAACAATGTTTTTATGACAAATAAAGTCAGATGCATATAACAGATTTGAAGCCAAGATATGCAGAAATGTTTAGTTTTTTAAGTTAATGTCAATCTATAGATGAGAGATGGATGAATAAGTCCGCAAAGGAAAGGATGTCATTGCTCTGTATAACTGGCCAGCATATGTTTTGATTAATACACTAGTTTTCTGTTGGCTTAAAAAATAAAAATATTAAATTATCTGATTTTCAGAAAAATTGTTTTCTTTTCATCATAGCAAATGTAAAGTAAATACATTAGATATTGTTATCAAAAGAAACCTTCAGTAGATGTTGCCTTTGCTTGAACGCATCTTTTTATATGCCCGAAAGAATTTCGGACATATTATGTTATACCCCCTGGCGTCCGTCCGTCCGTCCGTTAGCAATTTGGTTTCCGGAGCATAACTTAAGTTCTATTTGGCCCACAATATTCAAACTTCATAGGATGATTGTCCATATTGGGTAGAAGACCCCTATTGATTTTGGGGCCATAAGGTCAAAGGTCAAGGTCACTATGACCTTAAAACTGAAAACGTTAGCAATTTGGTTTCTGGAGCATAACTTAAGTTCCATTTGGCCCACAATATTCAAACTTCATAGGATGATTGTCCATATTGGGTTGAAGACCCCTATTGACTTTTGGGTCATAAGGTCAAAGGTCAAGGTCACTATGACCTTAAAACTGAAAACAGTTTCCGGAGCATAACTTAAGTTCATTTTGGCCCACAGTGTTCAAACTTCATAGGATGATTGTCCATATTTGGTAGAAGACCCCTATTGATTTTGGGGTCACAAGGTCAAAGGTCAAGGTCACTATGACCTTAAAACTGAAAACAGTTTCTGGAGCATAACTTAAGTTCCATTTGTCCTACAGTGTTCAAACTTCATAGGATGATTGTCCATATTTGGTAGAAGACCCCTTTAGATTTTGGGGTCACAGGTCAAAGGTCAAGGTCATTATGACCTTAAAACTGAAAACAGTTTCCGGAGCATAACTTAAGTTCCCATTTGGCACACAGTGTTCAAACTTCATAGGATGATTGACGATATTGGGTAGATGACCCCTATTGATTTTGGGGTCACAAGGTCAAAGGTCAAGGTCACATTTACCTTAGAACTGAAAACAGTTTCCGGAGCATAACTTAAGTTCTATTTGGCCCACAGTGTTCAAACTTCATAGGATGATTGTCCATATTGGGTAGAATACCCCTATTGATTTTGGGGTCACAAGGTCAAAGGTCAAGGTCACTATTACTTAGAATTTGAAAACAGTTTCTTGAGCATAACTTTAGTTCCATTTAGCCCACAATATTCAAACTTCATAGGATGATTGTCCATATTGGGTAGAAGACCCCTATTGATTTTGGGGTCACAAGGTCAAAGGTCAAGGTCACTATTACTTAGAAATTGAAAACAGTTTCTTGAGCATAACTTTAGTTCCATTTAGCCCACAATATTCAAACTTCATAGGATGATTGTCCATGTTGGGTAGAAGACCCCTATTGATTTTGGGGTCACAAGGTCAAGGTCACTATTACCTTAAAACTGAAAACAGTTTTCGGAATATAACTTAAGTATCATTTGGCCTACTGTGTTTAAACTTCATAGTATGATTGTCCATATTGGGTAAAAGACCCCTAATGATTTTGGGGTCACAAGGTCAAAGGTCAAGGTCACTTTTACCTTAGAATTGAAAACAGTTTCTGGGACATAACTTAAAGTTCCATTTGGACCACAATATTGAAACTTCAAAGGAGGATTGTTATTTGAAGGAGGTAATACTTTATTTTAGTCCCATGTCTTACAAATGCTTCATCTTTACTAAAAAAAAAAAAGCACTTTCGGGCATATAATGCTCCGCCTAGCGGTGCTCTTGTTGAATTTTTCTTGATATTTTAAGTAGTGTCTAGTATTGTTCATCAAACTATTTGCTTATTTAAGATTCATTGACTATGTGTAATTTCTAGAATAGCATGTATTATATGATTATGCCTGAATATGTTAGTTATTAGATAATGTGAAATTGTTATAAAATTGTGATTTTAGTAAAGCCTTAGGGACAGCATTATTGATTTTTGTTAAGTGAAAAGCACCTTAATTATTATGCATGTTATATTTTATGTACACATTTGATGTCAGAATTTAGACTTTTCTAGATATGTTGATTTGCCATTGACTAGAGCTAGTGCAATATATGTGATATGTATATAAAACACGAAATATATACTGGAAATATATGTCTTCTTGTTTGTTTGACTTCTTTAACAAGTTTATAAAACACACATAGAAATACATGTGGGATATGAGTGTTACATGGTGGCACTATTATCACCCTCCACATTAATCGAGTCTTGGTTGCCTGCTTGGCTTCATTGTCATGTTTACTGATTCTTAACCACTTGTTATTCCGAGAATAACTTGATGTCCTGAGATTAACTTGATATCCTGAGATTAACTGGATATCCTTAAATTAACATATCCTAGATTAACTTGATATCCATAGATTAACTTGGTATCCATAGATTAATTTGATATAAATTGATTTTCTTGATTAACTAGATATCCTAGATTACTTTGATATCCTGAATTATTTTGATATCTTGGATTAACTTGATATCCCAATAATAACTATATATATCTATGATATTCACTGGATATCCTGAGATCATTAAACTGCCCCCACCACTTAGGAGGCAAGAATTCTTGTAGATTATTCTAAGCACATGCCATCTTATCTGTGAAGTTCTATAAAGCAGGATGTTTGCATTCTTGTGCCATCAGTAAGGCTATCATTGTCCAAGAAAATTGATATTATTGGTATAAAGTTTTGCCACACAAATACAAAATACATTTATAAAATATTAACTCTGGAATCTAGACTTAAAACAGCACGCCTCCAGACTTATGCTGATTTTCATATAAATTTTGGAAATATATTTGAATATGTACTATTGTGAAGTAACCAAAAGGTCGCAATTTACACATTATCAATGGCACTTATAAACCATGTAAATTACCAAAAAGTGGTCAAAATATGCATAAATTGCCTTTACTGCAGTAGTAACGCAATAGAAATATAGTTGTAGATACTGAAAAATCAGTCACTATTCACACATAATATGTAAAATGTTACTTGAATCTTGATACTTTTTACATATCCTTACATGTTAGTACATTTTTCTCAAGTTTGATTTTATTGACATTTTTTTTTTTACTCATCTGGAGGCATGTAGCTTTAAAACTTCCAATTTAATTGCTTCAAGTATAAAGTATGAAGCCATAAGCAAAACAACTACTTTAACATTGATATACATGTAGATATATTTTGTGATGAGACAATATGTGTAGCAACATTATAAAGTGAAGATTTTATAACATTGTACAAATATAATCTTTACAATGTTGATAGTTAAGAAAATACTGAAGGGATTTATTTAGCTCAGTACTAGTTAAGAAGGCTGATGGGTTTTATTAAGCTCATTTTTTACTTTAGATTAAGTGAAGTTTATTTCAGTCAGTATTTAGTTAAAATAACTGAGGGTGTTTATTTAGCTCAGTGCATAGTACAAACTGTCCTTTGTCTTAATGTTAAATGACTTTATTTTTTAGAATGGAACTTTAATTAATTCACAGACACAAGTGCTAAAGATAAAAAAGAAAAATATTTGATTTAATGAACTTCTTAAAAGTTCTTACCAAAACATGGCTTTGTTTGATTCAAGCCAAGTTTTGAATTAGGAATATAATAAATTAAACTGTTGTTTGATATATTTCAGAGAATATGTCTGACAGTGATGATGACTATATGGATGGTAACGATAACTCGAGTAAATCCCAACGAGATAATCAGAAATCTCAGGAACCCTTCTCCATGAGGGCAGCACTTGCATGTCTTCCAAATATAACAAACTAGTTGATAGTGGAGATTATTATGATGGTGATCATCAAAGAAGATGAAATTAACAATTGATAAATCTTCAAATAAATACAATAAAACTGATGGATAAAAGCAAAGGTGATTCTAAAAAATAATAAGTCAAAGAATGTGAATAACAATAATGGACGAGGGAAAGCTAATTTAGATATGAAAAAAGACATTGCAAAGAGCTGTAAAAATTATGAAGAAAATCTTCAAAAGTACAAAAGAAACTTGCCTAAAAAAATACACATATAACACCATCTGGTGATATCATTAAACCACGTCACCGGCGACGGGAATCCAGTTCCTCACATGCTGATGAAGATAGTATATCTGAACAAAAAGGAACTGAGTTTTTTATAGGGAATTGGATGATGAGTATGGAAGTCGTCCCTAGTGCTCATGTTACAAAAAAAGATCATGATGTTATTTCCATGATTTCTACATCGAGTCAGGAGTACGATCCTACTCCAAAGCATTTACCTATTCCTCTGCCACAGAACAGCACCTCAGAACAAGATTGTGCTTCTACGCCCCCTGAGAAACCTGATCCCATTATAGGACATGAACATGGTGTCCGTCCTCTGCTGATGATGATGAACTAGAAAATGCGTATGGGTAATCCAACACCACGAGCATCAGAAACAACAAGTGAGGCAGAGACAATTTATGCTTCACCTCAAAGCTCAAGAACCTACGTCTCCTGTGCCGAAACAAGAAAAATACAGATATATTCGGAGCTGCACCATTCAAAAAGAAAATGTCTCGTAAAAGGAGACCAAGTTCTGGTTTATATTCAGCAGCAAAAGCAAGCTCAAAAGATGACATTTACAAAACATCTGCTCATTCTAAACCAAATTTACCACCAAAACCTAAGCCTCCATCAAAATCTTCACAAAATAAAAGATGATTCTTCTAAAGCAAGTTACACAAATAGACATCGGAACAGACGACATGCGTCTGGAGGAGAAATGAGAGTAGGCCTGTTAGCTAGAAGTGATGATAGTAGTGATAACGATGATGCAAATGTAAATGATATATTTGGAAATGCTCCATTTATGAAAAGGTCTTCAAGTTCAACTGATGCTGTTTTGCATATTTCTCCATTGTCTGATCAATTAAGAGGTAATGTTGTTACAAATGACCCAAACTTTTCAACTAAGACCTTTGAATCACGAAATGGTATTGCCAACAGTTTTAGTGTTGATAGTTTGAATCTCAGAGCAGAAGCTTTACCAGACTCCTTTGGTGCCATACCCTTCAGTACTATGCAAGCTAGATCTGCTAGTTCTGTGATTTCCCATGGAAGAGCAATGAGTGAACAAAGGTCACCTGTACCCGGAATTCAGACTGTGTCTAGTCCTGTTAGTTCTCCCCCAACCATTCCAGTAACATCAAGGTCTACAACCAGTCCAACACGCCCAGTACCAGCACCGAAACCACCACATTACCCAGAATCAAGTGGATCTGTGATAAAACGTGAACGAGAATCAGTGAAAACACGAGAATCTCTTGAACCTGCACCAAATTACCATAAATTCAAAGATGAATCGGACTCCGATGATGACAAGTTCATACAAGTAGAAAAACCTAAATACTTTAAAAGTAAGCAATCAAGAAGTCCCCGCCCTCCGGACAGAGACATTGAAAGTTCAGCATTTTCAAATATGAGTTTTAATGATGATTTTGATGATGAAGAAAATGAAACTGTAAATAGTGGAATGTCGGCATCAATGAACGAAGCTAGTCTACAAACAATGAAGTCCTCACATAGCCAGAACTTAAATGTAGGAGGGAACCAGCAAACTGTGTTTGTGAAAGACCCTTCTCCAGTGAATCAGGACTCGATCAAACCACCCATTGATGGTGGCTATGATACGTCGACTTGGCCACGAAAACGACACAAAGTGCCGAGCAAACAACATGCTACGGCTGAACCGTTTACAGTTAAAAAGAGGGTTGATAGTATATTTAGATAAATATTTCTAGATTACACCAATTTTGTCAATTGTTGTTGTGTTGATCACAGATTATTTATTTGTTGATGTTGCTTATTGACAGTAATTTGCTGAAATTTTGTCTAGACTTTTGTTTTATTTATTATTTTGCTATCTTAAGAAAAATATGTTTATGATATGTTTTATGTAAGTATTTCCGTACAGATTTATGATAAAAGCAGTCATACCTAGGATAAAGGGGAATGTAGCTTCTTATTAACAGACCTGTAGACATAGAAGATAATGTCCAACTATTCTACAAATTTTTAATCTGTTGTCTTAATTTCAATTGTCTTTAGAGTGAGTTTGTCAAAGTATACAAGATAAGATATTGTTTTAGATATTTTCAAGCTTTGGAGACAATCCACTTACACATATATAAGACTTGAAAGATAAGGAATTGATAAAAAAACAAGGAGATATGATCTTTTAGGTCTTTATCACTTTACAAGGAAATTTATGCCATCATGTTCAAAGGTGCTTAACATTTGATGATAATTGTTCACATAAATATTTTAGACTTTTTTCAAAGTTGCATTGAGGATAGTTGACTGTAATACTCCTAGAGTAAACAGTTGGGGATCATATACAGATAGTTGATGGTTTGTCCTTCAATCAATCATTCAGTCATGAACATAATATATAAAAGAAATCACAACACGGTAGTGAAATTGAAGTTGTTTAATAAAAGCATATTACACTAATGTAATAACCATGTGAATGAGATGAATGATATCTTTATTCAGTATTTATACACACTGTCAATAAAATAAGCTTTCTGAGATAGTATTGACAACTGTTGAAATCAAGCCTAAATCCACGTACCAAAACTTTGTGGCTTATCATTGCAATAAGTAAGTATTGATCCAATAGTTACAGCCGTTTTGCACCAAACCTTCAATATTGAAGATTATAGTGTCAAGTTAATCAGTTCAATAAAAAAAAAAAACAAGTAAAATAAATGTATTGAAATGATTGGGCAATATTTGTATTAACCTCCATCACATGCTGACATTTAATCATCATTAAAGGAATCAAGTACAACTACTTCTTAATATTGGCATGTTTTAAAGGCTTATTCCGTTTATGGCATAATAAGAAATGTGTGTCTTTTCATGGTGATAACATACTTGTCAGAGCCTCGTATATTATCTCTTGTTTGATAAATTCAATATGAAATGTCACTTGTGTAAGATCCTCTATGTAACACAATCTTTAATGAACACAAATTAAGCTTTAGCTTTTATATAGCCTATCATTATACATTTATATTTAGTGACATGCATACTGTTTCTCATGCCTTCATGTTTGACTGGTTTCTACAATGTTTGGTATGTAAGGACTTCTTCCATTAGTTTAAGGTCAAATTATTATGGCTAAATATATATTTTTTGTGTTTCTTCATAAAGCGTTTGTGTATTAAGAAAAAGATACCTTATGTCTGTCACCAATTGGGGTATGAAATATATAAGGTCAAGGTTAGAAAATAGTTATTCCACATTTCCTCTAAGTTTTGCCAACTTTTCCAGCTGTGTCAAAGCATCAGTGTCCATTGATGGTACTAATTTTAGCTTGGATATTTCTATCACATGCATAAGTATGCTTTTACTTGCTTTGCTTTGCTTTGCATTTTGGTTAGGGTTAGCCATGGAAAACTGATAAAAAATAGACTATTTTCAGAGGAAACTTATAGTAAAATGTCTTTACATTGCTTGCTGGCCTACCTTTACACTGTCATTCTGTTAAGATATCATAAAGATTTTATCGCTGAACGTATATTGATGAAGTACAATTTTCAAGAAATGGCTTTAAAGATGCTCGGATCAATAATATAATTGTTTTATAAATACACTAATTTCTTTTTAATTACCCATTCATTGTTTGAAGTTGTTTCTCTCTTATAGGACATTATAACTAAAGTGTGTAATCTGTCATTCATTACTTCCTATTATAGCTGTCTTGGTTTGAGGGTGTGTATATTAAATATGCAGCTTGTACTATGTGAATGGATACCCAAACAGTATTGTCTTAAAAGCAATGAGTTGTGATAAAGGTATTGAATACTATACCTGAGCATGATGCGATAAATACGGGAGTTTTAGCAACCTATAAGTTATTACCTTTTATCATGCTGCGTTCTTGTCCTGCTTTGAATTTAGAACTGTCCATTATAAGTTAAGTTTTAGGGGGTTTAATACCAGAAACAAGTTTTAGGGGGTTTAATACCAAAAACTTGTTAACAAAATACGGATGTAGAGAAGTTATTAGTGTAAAATCTTGTCACAATGCAGTATATGCAAGATGACCGGCTTTATTAAAGTGACAAAGGCAAAACACAGTTCTATATATTAATATATACATATATACAGTGATTAATCATAAATGAAAATATTAAACTCTAAATTATGCGTAGAAAGAAAAACGCAATATGATTATGGTATCTTATTTATATTATATTATGGAAAAGTTGTCTCCCTTGAAATGCAATCATGTTTGGATATTTGTGATAATTTGTAAACATTACTATTATTGTATACATTTTGGTAGTAAAACAGATTATGATATATTTCACAGTCTAAATCCTCTTTATTTCTGTATTTACTGTGATACAGGGCTATGCCAACTTCACCAAAAAAAACTAAAAAAACACATACATACATGTATATTCACATACATATATTAGCTATACTGAGATTTTATGATAAATATATGATTATATTTTGTATGGAATGAATTTGTCCAAAATGATACAAGTTCATGTAAATGTTGAAAATATGGTTGCAGTTTTGATATTATTATAACTATTTCAAAGGTTAAAAGAAATAAATTTTAGAACCTATTTTTATACCGTTTACCTGTCTTCCATTAGACATTGAGTACACATACATGTATTTATAAAAAGGAAATAATGGTAGAAAAGGCATCAGTACAAATTAATCTTATAATAATGTTACACTTTTAAAGGAAATCATGCATAATTTGTTAAATAGCAATAGAGAAGGAATTGATGAATTCAGAAATTTAGGAGCTTTATAATGTTGTCCTTAGGTTAACTTGGATTATGGTAAAAAATTTAACTCGGATTATGGTATGGTAAAAAATAGTTGCTTCAGTAACATTGCATACAATATTTGTAAATATGCTTTTTTCATGTAGATCTAGATATCAGTTTTTATATCAAAGACATTAGCAAAAACTTGAAATTTGTTTACTCTGAACATGAGGCATGGTTACAATGTATACATTATAAGTTAGTAAGATGACTGATATAAAGGAGTAAAACTGAATTGAGATACACCTGTTAAACCATATAATTGTAAGATTTAAATGTGATGAAAGAGATAACCTCTTCCACCATTATATTTTGATGGACATATTTTTTTTTACACCAGATTTGTCTTTTTTCAATGCATTTATACTGTGTGAGTAAATTGTGTGTTTGTGTGTTATAAATATTAATTTACTTTATGTTAATTTGTGTGTAGGAAATTTAAATGTTTGCTAGTCAAACTTTGTGTGTTTTTATTTAACAGTGTTATTACATTCAGTTGTGAATTACATTCCTGATTTTATTTTATTTTTTTGTTCATTGTTAGTATATAATGATTCACAATGTTGAACAAGTCAAATCTTCCACTAGTTTTAATGTCTTCAGTTTAACCTTAAGCCTGCTGACGACAGCAAACTTTATCCTATGCCACCAGTGCAAACCCAAGATCAATATACACATTCATGCTGTCTGATCATGATCATGGTCTGCACTGTTTGCTATTCAGTCAGTACATGTTTTGAAGTTTTCCGTAAAATGATGAATTGATTTCCCAGAATGAAAGATGGACAAATCCCATTTAAGATTTTTAACATGGTAGGGTTAAATGTTGAATATAAAAATAGCTACCTTATTTACATATACTAACTATGTTGGATAGATATGATGTTTAATTAGGAAATTTAGTGAGAGAAATGGTTACTCAAATATACATGTGACTGTTGTATTCCACTCAATTGTTGGCCTACTTTGTTTACCTGGTCTTTTTGCAGTCTTGTGTTGATATGTGTAACTTAAGGGAAACAAATTATTTAAGCCAAGGTTTATGTATCATATCCGGTGTTCAAAATTATTGCATTTTGTCCTCATTAGAGGTCACAGAAACATAAATGTTTTGAAAATTCTTAAAAATCGGAAAAAATTCTGTTTTTTTGTTGTATTTTAGTCTTTTCAAGTTTAAAAATAAAATCTGCAAAATTTCCTTCTTTTAGTCATTTTGTTTATAAAAATTGTCTTGATTTTTGGTTTTTTTGGTTTTGCTAAATTCTGTGAAAATTTTTAATGGCAAAGGTCATGAGGGGCCCCTTTTGAAAAAAATATAACCTTTTTCTTTTTTTCATTTTTTTGTTTGTTTTTAAAAAACTAAAAATTTTTTCCTTTAATTTAAAATTTTTGTTATTAATTGCACCCCCCATAAAATTTAAAAAAAAAAATTTTTATTTTTTTGATTTCAGATTATTTGAAGGTTGTAAATAAAACTTTTAATTTAGAAAATTATAATAAAAAAATTAAAAAATTTTTACCTTTTGTATTTGTTTCCATTTTTATTATTTTGTGTGATAAATAATTTTTTGTATGAAAGGAACTCCACTGACGTTATTTTGACATGGCAGGACAAGAAATATATTTCTGAGAATAATGTTCTGTTTGATGTAGGACTGGATAATCAACATACATGTGTGCAAAATTTTAAATCATTTGGTCACTCAATTTTTCCAGAATAATTATTCCAATTGTGAAAAAATGACCAAAAATTGAAAATCACCACAATGCTTTTCACTCAAATTGGGCTGAAATAGCACAAAAATGTGATTTTCATTTTATTTCTGAGTATATTTCTTTATTATCTTTTGCATATCTTTCTTTTTTAAGAGCCCAAGTTGATCTTTGTAAGAAACTATTTTGTTTTGTTTTGAACCTTAGTGGAGTTCCTTTAAATAACTTCCAATTACACAAATTATTTCTGTGCATAATATGTTTTAGAGCATAAAGTTAAATGTCCAAGTATGAAATTCTACAAAATAAAAGCTAGATATTTGCTACAAACAAAATTATTAAAATTGTTACTCAAAATACTCATCTTAGTTTTATAACCTAATTTTCTTAGCTTTTATAATGTGTATGCCCTTCCTTTTTTAGGGGTTATTTTCATTACAATGTTCAAATTAAAAGAATAATTGCATGATTGATTTATAGTATAGAAAGAAGGGAGATAATTCATCATGAGAGACTTGTGTCTCAAAAACTGTTTGTTGTCAAGGTAACCTTAAAAAATGAATATCTAACATTGAATTAGTATAATTGTGTGTTGTGAAGTCAGTTATTAACAACCATTTTTGTTACGGTAATCC